ATTCTCTGCAGAGCTTTGAAGCCCGGCCTGATGACCTTCTTATCTGCACATATCCCAACGCAGGTAACTGATGAGGGAAGAAGAGAAATCAGGGATGTGGGAGACTGGTAAAGCAGTGGGGAGCTAGCAATGGGGGCATGAATGATGAGGCACTTGGGATACGGAAGGCCACCGGCTAAATTAGGCATCTCTATATCTCCTGTCCAATGCCATCCTGCCAGGGACGACTTGGATGCAGGAAATTGTGGACATGATCCAGCATAGGGGAGATACACAGCAATGTGCTCGGGCCCCCATCTACCACCGGATTCCCTTCACAGACATGTTTTCTCCAACACATTTAATCTCAGGGGAGTAATAGGTCCTGCCCTCCGCTGATGGTGACTGTGGGAGAGCAGAGGTGTTTCTCGCAGAGGACTAAATGTCCCCAGCCTCTGGTGTTGCAGGCTTGGAAGAAGCGAAGGCAATGCCTTCTCCACGCATACTCAAAGCTCACCTGCTGGTCCAGTTCCTGCCACGCTCCTTCTGGGAGCAGAACTGCAAGGTGAGGGCGACTAGGGGAAGGCTGGTTGGTGTGGGCAGGGCTTAAGCAAAGCCGAGGTTCCATCTGGGTGCCTCTTTCTGTCTCATGGCTTCAGCGGCATCCTTTTTCATCGCTCTACTCCAATACGACAAGACTAGAAAAACACCAAGCAAGAGAGGGGGCTGCTTCCAAGAGGTCTTTTGCCCCCCAGCTCTGTCTTCTTTCGGCACTCAAAATGTCACTCGTTTAACACCGAGAGGCAGACTCAAATACACCCGTGCTTTGATTGAGCTGTGACTGGACCAACCATATCTAGGCACAGCATTGCAAGACTGAGACTGGGCTCTCCCAGTTTGACAAGCCAACTTGGTGAGCCAGGGGTGGCTTGTTGAGTTGTCTGAACCCAGCAGCATGGTTTGGTAACTGCACGCAAGACACTGTGAGGACAAAGAATGAATGGAAAGGGTGTTTCTGAGCTCTTGCAGATCTTATAGAACAAAGTGGTAAACTGTGAAGTGTAGGTGCTCATCATAGCAGTGAGCTCAGGAGTGAGGGGGAGGCTCTTTGTACATGTTCAGACACACATGTCTCTTCCTTGCACGTCTGTTTAGAGAATAAATGTATTGCAGATCAGAGGGAGGCGGTATGTATGCATGTATTATATTTCTACCCCACCACTTTGTTCTTGAAGGAACACAAGGCAACTTACCAGGTCCTCCTTTCCATTGGATCCTCACAACAGCCCTGTAAGGGGAGGCAAATTAGGTTGAGAGTCAGGGACTGGGCCCTGTGAACTCCAAGGCTGAACGGGGACCAGAACCCAAATCTCCCTAGTCCCAGTCCAGAACTTCTCACTACTATTCCACATAGGATTTCACCTTGAACAAGCAAGTCGCTATAGAAAAGGAAGGTCACCTAGGAAGGCCTCGGCAATTATAGGCTGCCAATAAATACATGTGGATGGATGGACCTGCTGAGAACAGAAAGTATGAAAGCAGCTCTGCTGAATTCACAGAAGAAGTGCCTTTGGCAAATGCTGAGCTTCTCTTTGGACTGGCTCCCCCCCTGCAGGCACCGTTGGAGACTGGAAAGAGCACTTCATGGTGGCACAGAGTGAACGGCTGGATGACATCTATGCTCGGGAAATGGGGGGCAGTGGCCTGACCTTCCGCACTCAACTCTTAAGTGTCCCCATGGACACTTTGGTAAAAGCAAGCCTAGATTGTTAATTTCACCTGAGTTTCATAAAAATTTCACAAGCTCTCAAAGTGGAATGGTTTATTGCTGATTTGCGACGGGTGCCAGGATTGAAATGAATCTACTGTTCTTTGTGCCTTCTTGTGCATTCCTATGGCCTCCCAACATTGTCTGAGTGGTTATAGGATTATTATTATATTATTATCTCATTGCCTTTATATGCCACCCTTTTTCCTCTCTTGAGAAATACAAGAAGACTTACTGAGCTTCATTTTAGCCTCACAACAACAACCCTGTGAGGTAGGATGGGCTGAGAGCCTGTGACTGGCCCAAAGTCACCCAGTTGGCTCCATGGCTAAGTGGAGACTAGAACTCAGATCTTGCAGGTCCTCAGTCCAGCACTCCACCACTACACCACACTGCCTCTCCCTGAGTGGATATGGAATTATGCCAAGACCCTGCCAGCGGGACTCCATTAGCTAAATGATGTCCAAACACAGCTTTCCTTGCAGAATAGCAGAGACAGAGGAAGAAGAAACTTCTTCAAAGGTTGCTAGCTCATTTCTTTCAAGCAGCATCAGTTACCGTTTGGCTATTGATAAGAAGTGGCCATTGTAGAAGCAGCAGCTTTGAATATTTTCTGGTCAACTTGGCCTGATGGGTTATAACCTTTAGAGCCTTCTTTCCAGTGGGATCAAAGCGGGAGAATGGGAGTCTTCCCACTGTATCTTCACAACAGCCGTATGAGGAGGCTCAAGACTGGAGACAGACAAGAGTGTTTGTGCCTTTTAAAATGTATTTTGAATTCTATTAAATAAACAAGCAAAATTTCAAGCAATGCCTCACAGAACATGTGCTTATTACACTGTGTAAACTTTCACATTCAGTTCTAAGAGTTCTAAAAGTGGCTTAGTGCCCAGTCTAGAAGCTTTGAATATTTTCTGGCCACATTGGCCTGGTGGGAAAGTAACCATGTATGTTTAGAATGGCAATCAGTCCATAGTCTCAAGAGGACTTAGGATGTAGTAACCCACACCTTTCTGTGATGAAGGATGGTATATATCTCACAAATTGTTTTGACACAAGATGGAGTCTCTTCCCGGTGTAAATTTACATTGAAGCACACAGATAAGGAACGTGTTCGTTAATTGGTGCATCTGTGATTATTGTGCTTTGTGTTGCATAGTAATTGGATAGATTGGTCTCTGAAGGAGAAAGAAGATACAAATTTCTATCAAACCTGGGACTCTTTTTATCATTGGCTAGAGAAACGGGACTATGCATAGACTTAAATATGTTTATAGCTTAACATAAAAAGAAAAATGTGGGGGGCTAACCCAGTAGGTCTGAGGTTTTCGATGATTGATGCTTTTTAGGGGGTTTTTTTGTTAGGTATATATTGAGAATAAAACTTATTAAAAAAAAAGTAATTGGATAGATTTGGGGAGATCTGTGCAAATCTCTTTTTTTTAACTTCCTGGGAGATTTGTGCAGCTACTAGATTTATTGGCAGTAGATGCTGTACTTTAATGAATTTGCAGAGATCTACGCAAAAGTTTTGGAAAAAATAAAGTTAAATGGCTACAGTTCTCATTGAAAGCAGGAAAAACACATTAAATATGTACATATCTTCCTAGAGGTGAAAAAAAAATCTTAAGTCTGCTGCTCCAATAATGAACACATTTGTGAATCCATGGTTTGGTGTTATCTTGATTACTGTGGGTTGTTTGTGGTTCATAGATTGCGTTTTGTTGTGACTGCGTTGAGACAACACAATAACCCACATTTCAAAAAGAACCCCCATTCAACTTATATTCAGCATTTGAGTGTGGAGTATTGTGAGTAATGCAGAGCAAATAAAAATAAGGTTGTCAACATGTGGCATTAGTGATCTCTCTGACTGGTGGAGTTAGCTCTTGCCTATGTAAGGAGTTGATGCCAAACTGAATCTCCCTTTTCTCCCAAAAGGAGTTGGTTCCACCTTCAGAGAGGTTTGTGCTCCCTGTGAGCCAAACCATGGAAATGCTGAACATTATGTAATTAATCCACTGTTTTGGCTTGATAACAAACCAATGGGTTGATTAATTCCCCGTATGAAAATCTCTAAACTCCACAGGAATGTAAGAGCTTTCCCAGATCAATCAGAAAATCACAAAAATTGTCAAATGTTTCAAAGCCTTTTAATCAGCCAAGATGTTACCCAAATATTCAGAAGTGGTTTCAGGTTTGTTTTTGTTTGTAGGTGGGGATGGGAAGGGGGGAAATCCAACTTGAAGGTGAATACTGAGTCCCCAAATGAATTTATGTTTTATTGAGTGCTACAAAAATAAAAGCAAAGTGATTAGAGAAGAAAGAAGGATAACATAAATTGAAACATTACACATTTTTGAGTAAGATTTTAAAAGATCCATAACATTTTCATATAAAGGGAGAGTATCCCTATTTAGTAGTACACAATAGAGCATAGTACTGTTATTGAAAATGATTATGTATAAATGAACAAGGACAGCCCAAATGTCCATTTGTAGATTATGCCAAAGGCCTCTGACTCCAACATCAACACTTCTATTAAATCCTCCACCCACTGAGTTATTGTAGGTGCCCGTCTTCTTCCAATGTTTTATTATTACTCTTTTAGCTGTCAAAATGGCACTGAAAATCCATTTCCAATGACTTTCCATTAAATTCCAGGTGATGGGTAGGTAATTCCAAAGAACATGTGTGTCCTTAAATATTGAAGAACTTTCCCTCAAAAATGCTGTGAATTATTGCCTCCTCTCAAAAGAAGACTGCCAGTGGCATTGCCAGCATATAAAGAGGCCAAGCTTTAGTAGCATTGCATCCCCAGCAGTTGCCTTATTTTATTTAAGTCCTTATCAAAGAGACATTGCTGAGTCCAGTATGTGTGAAATATCAAAATGAAGAGGATCAAGAAGGGTCCTGCAGGTTGTGTGATGCATGGAGCCGTGGCTTACCGTAGGGTTTCTCAGAAATGGGAAGTTAAATCCATTAGAACCTTGCCTGCAAGTCTGGAAAAATAAAATCCAGGAGTTATTCAAATACATTTATGTTCTGAAGCACACGGCCTGGCCATTTTCACTGGTGGCTTCCTGCCAGTTTCTCTGCTCATCTTCAGAGCTCACTTGGCTCCCCTCAAAGTAGTTAGCATAATGTGTAGCCAGACCTTTACATAAAGCCAGCCTCAGCTATTATGGGCTGTAGCCAGGCCTCCTTCTGTGGACTTTGCTTTCCCATTCTCTTTTCACTCTTCTTTTCAGAAGGAAGGTGTGATGTCTGCAGACCTGCAATCAAAAGTGAGTATTAACTTTATAAAAATATGCCCTGCCTCCCCAGAGCCTTTTCCTGCACTCATGGGTTGCCATTACATGCAAAGGCTGCACTATGGCTGAACTAGGGACTGAGAACCACTAACAGCTCAGGTGGAGAACCCATGGTCCGTTCCTGGTGTGGAGAGACTCTGGGTTCGGATGGACACAGGTTGAATGCTCCAATTATTGTTCTTCCTTTTTGGGCTGGATTCCTTCAGCTGGTTAATGACGGCTGAATTTGCCCAGGCGGAGCTGTGTGCTCCCATCCTCGGGCCACATGGCTTTGGTGCCATCCTAATGGGCCTCAGTAGCTCGCGGCTGAAGGAACGTTGCTGAACAGAGATGGTGAATGCAGAGGGTGGGTCAGCTGGCAATTGACCAAGAGGGGAACCACTGGAGCTGCCAGGGACAGGGTGTACAAGACGCGGTTGCTGGCTGCCTCCATGCTGTGCTGCCGGCGGACCATGTGGGTGGCAAGCGGAGCCCTGGCTAGTTGGCTGCCCTGCAGGAGACCCATTGTCTCAGGTGGTCCAGAAGGGCAGGTTGCTAGCTGCCTCTTCTTTAGTTGGGGACCTGTGTAACCCATTAAGCAGCCTCTTCTATTTCCGTTCTCCCATCTCCTCCTTTCCTTCTGGGGAATACATCCTTTCCCTGCCTCAGGTTTGTGTGCCGTTTCCTCGGCTCGAGCGCAGGGTTGATCTCAGTGCCCTGGGCAAAGGGCTGCTTGCCTAGCTCTGTTTTAGGCTGGGGAGACCGTACTGGAGTACAGTACTCCAGCCACCCCATGATATCCGTGGGCACAGAGTCCCTTTCTTTGCGCTGTAGCGGATGACATCTTGCCTGACCTGCAGGGAGGTGGGTGGCGTCCCTCCTTCCTTCACAGTTGAGGTGTGGCTGACAACTGGTAGTTGAACCATAGCGCTGAGTTCACATGAAAAGGTAACCCACGATTCAACAAAAACGCACAATTCAATGACAATCTCAGTGGAAGTGAATCCTCAGTCCAGCCTGTACTCCCTGTTGTCATTACATGCGAACCGGGTCAGGGGTAGAAGAAATGTTGACAGCCTTTGAAAATGGGGGGTGGGGAGCTGGTGGGAGGGCCCTGTCCTTGAACTAGACTGCCAGCAGGGGCTGCCGGTGGGGGTGGAAGGTGGAGGCGAAAAGGATGCTCAGGAGAAAAGGGCACAGCCGACTCATCATATCCCCTTTCCTGCCCTGCTAGGCTCCGGGTCTCCAATCCAAGTGGGATTTTGATGCTTTGGATCCTGCAACCGTCAAGCGCTTGGATCTGCTGGAGGTTGAAGGAGTCCCTTTGCTCAGCAAGGATGCCCAGAACTGGGATTCCCTGTGGGGCTTTCAAGCCCGGCCTGATGACGTCCTCATTTCTACTTATCCCAAAGCAGGTAAATCCAGAGGGGAGGGGAGAAATCAGGGACACCAGCTATGAAGACATAGTCATGGGGATGGCTAGGGAATGTGGACAATTCTCCATGTACTGAATTAGGGGAACACCATTTATTTTTCCTGACCTCTCCACTAGGGACCACTTGGATGCAGGAAATCGTGGACATGCTCCAGCATGAAGGAGACCTGCAGAAGTGTGCTCGAGCCCCCATCTACCAGAGGATTCCCTTCATAGAGTACTTCCGACACTATCCCATTGCCTCAGGTGACTAGGAGTGCCCTTTAAGGGAGCTGGTGGGTGACACAGCAAGCTTCTCGGGTGATGGCTGAGTGCTCCCCTCCCCATGTTTCAGGGCTGCAACTGGCGGAGACCATGCCTTCTCCACGCACACTCAAAACTCACCTTCCAGTCCAGCTCCTGCCCCCTTCCTTTTGGGAACAGAAGTGCAAGGTCAGTAAAGAGGGACAAGAGGGGGAAAGCCACTGAGAAGGTGTGGGCTTCATCGGAAGACCAGCACTAAGCCATGGGGCAGCCATGTTGGAATGGAGGACAGAGCTGTCCTGCAGGATCCCAGTTCAGCCCTTCAGATTTCCCCAGAAGGCCACACGCCTACCCTGCGTCCCACCCTCTCTCCCCCAGCTGCCAATGGCTTGGTGATTTCTCAGCTCTTGTGCAGTTTCCCCTCATTTCCCTTTCCTGAGGATTCCCTACTGGCATAAGAGCCAGGCTGGTTTTTTGGCCTCTGTCCCTTATGCTCTGCTCACTGCAGAAACGCCAACCCCTGAGAGGTTCTGTGAGACACAGTTTGGCTGGAGAAGATTCTGCGCATGGGGAAGGTTCTGCCATGCCTCGCTGCTCGCTCTTTCTTTAGGCCCTTTGCTCCCCAGTCTGGCTTACTTGGGCTGGCAAATAATTTCTCATATAGGCTTCCCATCTGCTGTGAGACGCAGACAGCAAAAACGGGGCAACTGACCCTGATTCCCTTTCCTCCAGCAAAGCCCTGAACATGCCATGTTATTAAGAAATGAGGGAGCCATGTCTGACTCTCTGCAGAATGCACGGCATTCTTCGACTCAGATTTGAGGTTGCCTGGCAGAGGGAAGGGCACAGAAGACTTGAGCTGGGAATCCTGTGTTCTCCCTTGCTTTCACTCTATCTCCACAGATAATTTATGTGGCCAGAAACATCAAGGACAATGCTGTTTCCTATTTCCACTTCCACCGCATGGACCATTTTCTTCCAGAGCCTGGGGAATGGAACCAGTTTCTGGAGAATTTCATTGCTGGGAAGGGTATGTGGAAACTGCAGGACAAAAGACATGCAAGCCCCAGTCCCCAGCTCGGTTTCTCTATATGGGGAGCAGTGGCCCTGCTGGTTCCTCACGGGGTGGGGAATAGCAAAATCCTGCAAAGCGGCATGCCTTCCTGGAGCTTGCTTTCCAAGCCTGCAAAGTCAACGGCTGTCTCTTGTGTCCCTTTCCAGTTGCTTGGGGCTCTTGGTTCGACCATGTCCGTGGCTGGTGGGAGGCCAAGGATCGCCATCCAATTCTGTACCTCCTCTATGAAGACATGAAAGAGGTGAGCAGCCCAGGCACGCACTCCGAGAGCGCAGAGGGAGTCTCCTCCTGTACGTGTGGATGCCGCGAGCTTCCCGCATCTGTGCTCTGCCTTGGGGCACTCGCTCATCAGGACCCAGGTGCGGCCACACAGGAGGGGGCCACGGGGCCATGTAGTCCAGCCTCTGGTCCCACCATGCCCAACCCACAGTCTGTGAGAGACAGACATGGGTGCAGCTGCAGCCTCCCTTTCGGGCTCCTTAACAATGAAGAGGAACAAGGAGGAATGCAGCCTCTGAGACTGGGGGTAGCACACAGCCATCCAGCTGTCGGTCATCTCAAGGGAGCAAAGACATCGTTTAACTACCTGCTTCATGAAGAAGAACTTCATTCAATCTCTCTTGAATCTCCTGCCAATCGGCTTCATGGCAGGACCGATTCTAGTATGATGGGAGAGGAAGAAACGTCTCTCTCAGTCACTTTCTCCGCACCAGGCCTAGTTCTGTACACCTCCATCATGTCTGCCTAACTTTTTTCCAAGGTTAGACAACTTCAGCTGTTGTCACCTTCCTCCTAGAAGTGCTGCTCCAACGCCTTGGTCATTTTACTTGCCCTTTGCTGCACTTTCCAATTCTGCAAAAAGCATTTTAGGCGCAGTGGTTGGTCCCCATCGCAAAGTTGACCTTTTTCCTAGTAGCTGCACACTGGGTCAATATTTTCTCAAATTGTTCGCTACAGCCCCAAGATCTCTTGTCTTGGTCAGCCAAGCTTTCATGCAAGAACAATGCCTGCTAACCTTCTTCTTCTTCTTCTCTCTCTCTCTAGAACCCTTCCCGGGAAATCCAGAAAGTAGCCAAGTTTCTGGGCCTGGAGCTCCCAGAGTTAGTCTTAAACAAGATTGTGCAACACACTGACTTCAAGTGCATGAAAGCAAACCCAATGGCTAATTACAGCACAATGCCTCCTGTCATTATGGATCACGGCATATCTCCTTTCCTGAGAAAAGGTGCAAACCAGAGTGTAGATTCTAGAGTCACATGAGAGATGGGAATGGTCTTATGGAACAGCAGGGGTCATCGTTGGCAGCAAGTACATGGTGAAAATGTCCGTTCCTGGATAACAGAGGGAAGGCTGGGAAGAGGAAGTTGGCTCTAGATGAGGCTGAAAAGGGTTTAGGAGCCTGCATTTCTGCTCTTGGCCACCATTAATTTCCTTCCATGTAGGAATGGGCATAGTTGTCCAAAGCACAGGGAGCACACGATCTTGGGAGAGGCTGCAAAGAGACACAATGATGTGGGAAAGGCCTAGCTAAGGGCTGAGCATTTGACTTCTGCTGGGTTAGCGGCCAGAAGAAAGAACGGGGACATGGGATTGCTCAGGTGCCTTTCTGGCTTGGTTTCCCCCCCTGCAGGCACCGTTGGAGATTGGAAGGAGCACTTCACGGTGGCACAGAGTGAACGGCTGGATGACATCTACGCTCGGGAAATGGAGGGCAGCGGCCTGACCTTCCGCACTCAGCTGTAAGCACCACGCAGAGATTTTCACAAAAAGCCCATGTTGTTGTGTTTCACTGGCACTAAAGACAATAAGAAGCACAACTCCCAGCACTAACAATTAAAAGCTATTGCTCAGCAATTCTGTCTTTATCTTGTGTGTGCGAAGACAAGTGATGGGGAAAGTAATGGGAAAAGGGGAGGATTATAAGCTGAGGATGTCATACTGGGACCTAATATAAAATCCTGTAAATGAAGTAAGGCAATTATACTATAAAAGACTTTTTGCAAGGTTCCCACTGATACCGACACCAAACTGTTGCACTTCTCTTTTTTTTTGTCCCCTTTATGAACATATCCCTTCCGTCATTTTTTAAAAACTCAAAAGAACAGCACCATCTGAGCAACTGTAGACCACCTTAGTGCAGCCTCCCCTACATGATGCCATGCTGATGTAGTGGACTTCAACTCCCATAGCTGGTTGGGGGATTATGGGAATTGTAGCCCAATGGAGGATACCAAAGTGAGGCCACTTTAGAGTTAGTGCTCTGTTATAGCTGCTCTCTCTCTCTCCCCCTCCCCCTCGCTTTTTTCCCCATGCTACTAAGTAGAATGAAAAGGCCATTCTTGTGAACCCAGCATTTATTTATTATTTATTTAGTTAAAACATTTTTACACCGTCCTATACAAAAAACATCCCAGGACAGCTTACAATAATTAAAACAATAATAATTACAATCAAACAGTAATAATTACAATAATCAAGACAATAAATAACAAAATGATAAATAGCATTCATAACCCCAACAAAATAAAAACAAAATACTACTGTTGATGTTAAAACCATTTAAAATCCCTTAATGCTTAAAATGATGGGTAGATAAAAAGCATGACTTCAGGTGGACAGCCATGTCCAGGGACACGGTTGCTCTTCCATCTTTCCCTCCTTAAGAGATTTTCTGTGGAAACTGGAAAATACAGAAGAAGAAGTGGTAATGGCTTTCAGGTTCCTTCTCCACCCCAATGCCAAAAACATTTCAGGAATGTGGAAGGGTAATTGTACATTCCGAGCTGCACCTCAAAACACCTCCGAGTGCATGAGCTAGTCAAAATTCATGCTATGTGCTTGGATAAATCAGTTTCCAAATCCTCCAGCTAGTGTGCATGGTTCTAGCTCTGTGTTCCATCTTCATTTATGCATTTATTTGAAGTATTTTTGTGTGGTCCCTCAACCGGATTTACATATACGTGGTTAAGCCAGAGAGTCCCTGCCTTCAGGTGTATAATCTGAGCAGGCATGTCACACAAGGAAAAAGAAAAGGGGATGGAGGAGGGAAATACTTAGCACTTCCAGCAGGGCTGGTGGAATGGTCCTGCTGTTCACCTCTTCTCCTTCAGCTCTGCCTGCCGGAATGGCTGCTCGGGCTCACGGTGCTTGCAGCAGTACAGGGGAGTTTATGAGACAATTGGCTGCTCCTGTAAGAGCATTTGGAAGCGCTTTCCATTTTGCTCCCTGGTGGCTTGGGCAGGTCAGTCTCATCCTCTGCACCTGTCGCAGAGCTGCCTGTAGAGAGAAAAGCAAGGCTCAGTGGCCAGGTGCGCCCATCATGAGAAGCCACGGTAATTTCTTGCCCTTGTCGGTTTGCCATGTCATCCGGACCTAGTCATGGTGTTTCATCATGGCACCTTTAGTTTCCGGTAGGTACCTTGATCATCCACACCCAGCATCTCCATTTTGCCCTTGTTAGTATGGGAATTCACAGAGTCTCAGAGAAAGAGGGACTGCGTAAGTGGCTGCTTCTAGACTTTGATCTCTGCTGGCTTCAGCACCTTAGTAACAGACATGTCATCACCTGCTTTATTCCCATGAGCAGGGAGAAAGTAGATAAATTCCTGGAAGTGGGGGGGATTAACAGCATAAATAATTTTATTATGATATTTTATTACATATATTACAGATACATATATTATAGATAATATTACAGATATTCCAGATATATATTACAGACACTCTGCTTTAACGTCTAGGAATAATTCGGTGATAACGGAATGCTGGGGGATCTCTTTCAGCCCCTCTCTTTCAGTGGTGGATGGCAGATAAAGGCAAAAGGGCATGGGGCAAAATCACAAAAATACCAGCCTATATTAGTTTAAAGCACTTATAGCCATTTCAGCCTTGTAGCATCACAGACAAACTGCATAAAAGCCAGGAAACCATCGAACGATCTGTGGGAGCTACCAAGGGTTTGTCAGAGACTTGGCCATCCGGGAAACTACATAGGCTGCATGTGATACCAAGGCCTGCGATTCCCCACTCCTGCGATAAAGGATAAGAAAAGTTCACAAAGGAATCGATAGCCAGGGATTCCTGCCTCCCTGAAGCAGGATTTGTGCTTTGCTACTCTTTCTTCCAACTTTCTTAGCTTCAGGGGCAAAGTTCACAACAACAAGAGTCCAACCAGCTCCTCCATGGTAATGTGTAGCCAGGTTCTTAGATACATTTCAAAGGATGGAGGTGCCGCATTCTCCATCTGTGGACTTTGCTTTTGCCTGCTGGGTTTTTGAATGGGTTTTCCAGCAATACAAACAACGTGCCCACTGGCTTACAGTCAAAAGTGAGTATTTTTTAAATTGATCCCTGCATAAACATTCATCCTAGCACCCTATCCCTTTAAGCCCTTTTCCCGAACACACACACAGTTTCCCCAAACACACAGAGTTGGATTCCAAGAAATGGCCCAATAGGAGGAAGAGGTGGAGGGTATGTGAAGGTCCATTGACTTAATTCTTCAGTACCTAAAATCAGGAGTGGTCAGAAGGCAGATCTGGATTGCTGGGTCAACTGCACAGGATTTGCAAAGATTATTTAACAATACCAGCATTATGGCTCTCCCCCAGCACCTGAATTGATACTGCTAAAATGAAAAAAAAAAAAGTCTGGAGTAACCAGGAATGATTTTTGTGTATAGAGGAACTGCATAAACTCCATTCACTTCTGGCACTCAGAAGAAATTCCTGCAATCAGATTTTTAAAAACCTACTTTTGCATCTAGGTCTGATGGGTGAATCTTTGGGTTCTAGTACAGAAATAAAGTAATTGCTGTAAGAAGGATGTTAGCTCACACCTGCCTAGGAGATCCATTCTGAGAGGAGGCATTGCTCCCTCCCAAAAAAGAATGCGCATTACCAAAAGGGCAAAAGAAGGCACCAAATATTGTGTGTGCGTGCGCACATGTGCACATTTAGAACCCACAATCATTTAAATTGAAATCCAATACATCCCACCACAGTGCAGAAGACTGATGAGGTGACCTGTGTAGCCATGCACCTGCTGCTCAGGAATCCTTGATGTGCAATTTCAAGGCTTGTGCTGCTCTCTCTCCTCATATAACTCCCTTTAAACCAGAATGAGCCTGGGCATCTCTCCAAATAGAGGCATGCCTTCCATGAAGAAGGGCGCCTGGCCACCCTATGAAAGTGCTGACAGAATGTGGCATCCCTCAGCCGGGACTGTATGACCCCTCTTTTGTCTCAGAAACACACACCCTTTATGTGTTTGAACCAAGTTCAAATCTTAGGAAGTAGAAGATTGACCAGGTCAATGTTCAACAGTCCCAAAGGGGAGCAAAGCAGGCAGGTTTTTCTTCTGGGTCTAGCAGGGAACACCACGGCTGCTTATGAGAAACGGGTACAACATACATATTTTGCCCCTTTCATTTCCCTGCCAGGTAACTTTTCTCAGATCTCAGCTTGATGCTTTGGCTCTTCAGGTCTTCGTGTGTGTGATCCTTGAGGAGGTTGAGGGAGTTCCTTTGCTGGGTAGCCCTGCAGAAAAGCGAGGTTGCCCGTGGGCTTGAAAGCTTGCCCTGATAAACCTCATCTGCAGAGAAGAGTAATGAGAATGGGGCTGTGGCAGGCATTGCTTGCAGAGCCAGGAATCGGAGGCTGTGGAGCTTGAGAGTTTCTGGCTGAATCCTTCTCTGCTCTCACAGGAAGCACCTGGACCCAAGAAATTCTGGACAAGACCCAGAAAAGTGTGCACAGGGCCCCATGTACCCACAGAGATGTTCCATCCAAAGCCTATTTATTTATTTATTTATTTATCAAAATATTTTTACGCCGCCCCATTCGCCGGGGCCCCGGGGCGGCTTACAACAATAAATTAAAAGTAATTATAATATAAATTACAATAAATATTTATCAGGGGACTAGGAAGCGACACATCTGGGAGATGGTGGGCAAAGTAAGAGGGGTTCTGAATAGGAGGCTGAGTATCAACCCCTGGCATTTCTGGGCTCAGAGAAGTGGAGGCAATGCCTTCCCTGTCATGGTGGGCATGTCGTGAGTGGAGCTGGCTGGAGCTGGGGGTCAGACTAGATGGCCCAGGAGACCCCTTCTGACTCACTCTGTGTCTTTGTTTCCCTGCACACACACTCAAACGTCTTCTCCCAGTCCAGCTCCTGCCTTCCTTCTGGGAACAGCAATGCAAGGTCAGTACAGATGGACAGGTGAGGAAAGGCTATTAAGAAGTTTAGGGCTTAAACTGAAGGCCAAGCTATAAGCATAGCTTGCTGGGGAAGCCTGGGAGTTGTAGGACTTTTTCAGTCTAAACAGGCACAGGATTACACCTTAAGGTTTTTGCTTTGTTTCTGGTGAAAAAATAAGTTGGAGGTTTCAGTGGGAAAACACAGCTTAAAACATCAGAGGAGACATCTGAACTCTCCTTTAAATTTCTGCTTGGGGTAAAGCAATTGCAGAGTAAAAACCTCACCTAGAGCAGAAGCACCCTCGACCATAAGCAGATTGTTTATATTTATATATTACACTGGGGGAGAAAAGCCCTACAGCTGCAGGGAACAGTAGGACTTTTTTCCTTCTAAACATACGTAAATCTATGCCCCTCGTTGGAGTTCATAATATAACAACCGGATCCTATGGGGAATTAGTCGTTTCCAAGTCCATTGAAATCAGTCTGTGAAAAGCTGCACAAGAGACGCACATCCAACAAGTGCATCATTCCTTTTTACTTCGGTGACAGCGAGAGCAGCATCTGATGAATTTCTGCCTGTCATACAATTTTTAAAAGGAGCAGGAACCTCGCCAACACCCCCAAGTATTTTCTAACTCTGTGTCGTTCGTAGGCAGTAGAACTATTTGAAAACGCGGCGACGAAAGGGAGCATTGCGACCGCCTCGCCCCATTGCAGCTGCAGCGCGGCAGTTCGCGCTGGGCTTCCCACAAAACGCGGCCAAGAAAAATCCATGCCGCTGACGACCCGGTGCCCGCGTTGCATTACGGGAAATCCGCGAAAGGCTTCCTGGGTGTTGGAGTCCCTTTTCTTCCGCGCCTGTTGTTGGCTTCGTTGGCGTTTCCGTTGCCTGCTCGGTCGCCGGCAGCCATGCCCGGGGGCCGGGGTGGGAAGCCCCGCGAGTCCGCAAACCCCGCTGTAGTCAGTGGGGCCGAGTCGGTGACCGAGCGGGTCCTGCGGGAGGCTCATTCCCTTTATGTCCATGAGGGTCACGGTGAGAACTGGGGGTGGGGAGGCGAGAATATGGGGTTTTCTCTTTGGGGGGCGAAGGACCATGTAGAGTATCAGAGCTCATCCATCCCCTTTTTTCCCCTTCGCTTCCAGGTCTGGTGTCAATTGGGGGGCGAGTGGGACTGACTTTGCTTCCTCCACGCCGCAAAGTGACCATCATGGTAATGGGCAACCACAGTGCTGGCAAGAGCAGCTTCATTAACTGGTGAGCTGAGAGCAACACCAAGCATTGTGGGGAAAGCAAACAGGGCTGGGGTAGGCACAAAGCATTATGGGAATATCCTGAGGGCTCCTGTAGTGCAAGGCATTATGGGGAAGTCCTGGGGGGCTGGCATGGGTTTAAGGCATTGCAGAGAAATTTGATGAGGGCAGCAACAGTGCATTGTGAATAGTCTCAAAGTGTGGTCATCTACAGGGTATTTGACAAGTTTCATACCACAAATATACGTGGGCTACTGGAGTGCATCAAAGAATTTCAGGAGATCAGACTGTGCTTTATAGATTACAGCAAAGCCTTTGCCTATGTGGATCACATGAAGCTATGCATGGGCCTGAAGCTACTGTTCTGACAGAATATGGAGAAATATCATGGTTTCCTATAGGCAAAGGTATGTTTTATCTCTTCAATCTGTATGCAGAACATACCATAACAAAAACTGGATTAGGATCAAAGGAAAAAGAAATGAAAATTGGCAGAAGACACATTAGTAATTTAAGATATGCAGATGATACCATATTAGTGGCAGAAAGCAGCAGTGAACTGAAATGACTTCTAGCGAAAGTGAAAGAAGAAAGTACAAAAGGACTGCAGCTGAATATTAAGAAAACAAAAACAATGACTACGGAAAAAGTAGAGAACAAGGTAGAAATAGCCATTGTGAAAGGTTTTGCATGCATTGGCTCAGTCATCAATTCAGACAGAGCCAAGAAATTAGAAGACGACTGTAACTTGGAAGGGTAACTGAAGGAATTAGAAATTATCAAGTGCAGGGTAATTTCACTGGATACTAAGGTCAAGATCATTCAAGTATTGTATTGCCAATCACAATCTATGGGTTTACTCATACAAGAGTGCTCAAACTATCCTGTTTCTGATGGCTATGTATGATGTGAAAGCTGGACAATGAAGAAATCTGGCAGGAAGAAAATGAAAGTTTTCAAAACATGGTGCTGGAGGAGAGCCTTGTGAATACCCTGAACTGAGAGAAAGAAAAACAAGTAGGTCCTAGATAAAATCAAGCCAGAACCTTCCCTAGAATCAAAATTGACCAATCTGAAGCTGTTGTACTTTGGGCATATCATAAGAAGCCAAGAATCTCACTGGCTTGCTAGAGAAAGTCAAAGGCAGAGGAAAAGGAATGCCAAATATGAAATGGATTGATTTAATAAAGGAAGCCACAATTTCCTTCTTGAATCTACAAGAGCTGTGTAGGATTGTGAAGGAGAAGCATTTTGGAGGGTGTTTATTCATAGGGTTGATGCAAGTTAGAGGTGACTTGACAGCACATAATAACAAATTTCACAAGCTGGGGAAGGCACTGCACATATTTATGAGGAGTTGGTTTCTGCAACAGGGTAGTGTCTTAACACTAATGTATGGTAACAAGATATAAATATGTCATTTATTGGTATCCATTGAAACATCTGTAAGTTCCATGCAAAAGGAGAGGAAAATGGAGGAGATAGGTTCCCCCGTTTTTTTCAAAGGATTTTTGGGGATTTTGAAGAAGAATGCTTCCCCCCACGCCAAGTTTTCTATTTTTTCCTCTGCAAGCCTTCTCATCTTTAGTTTGGGTTCTAGGGAAGAATTGGCACTCATACTATCTGCTTTTAGTACATGAGGGGTTGTATTCCACAGGATCCCTAGAGTCATTTTGCAGTCGGCTGAAGGAATGTTTCCAAAGTGAAGAACATGTTGGGTAAACAGTACATGATGTGAGAATTTGGATTGACCAAAGCTAGCTGTTTTTGAACACTTCAGACAATTGCTATTTGTTACTTAACCAGGATTTGTGATGAAGAATTGGCATTGCATCTTTCACTTGCAGCCCAAAACCAGGAGCATTTTGCACAAAAGAAAGATTCCATCTTGCTTCCTTTGAAATTCTTTGCAGGTATGTGGAAGAACATATCCAACGAACCGGTGTAGCTATTGAGACTCAGGGATTCACCTTCATCACTAGTGGAAGGAAGCGAGAGTCTCTCACGGTGAGAATTTCTTCCTCTGACAGGAAACCTGGTTATCTGTCTGGGATGATCTGAGCTGAGCACGTAGACAATTCCTTGCTGTGTCAAACTGTAGTCCCAGCACTTTGCAGCGAACAGCCAGAGGCCCAAGGGAAATCCACAAGCAAGACAAGATGGAGTGGAGGGAACTTGGCTTAGTGGCAGAGCACATGTTTGCATGAAGGTGTCATATTGAATCTCCAGCCTCTCCAGGTAGGGCTGGAAAAATCCTTCCAGAAGCCCAGAGAACTGCTGCCAGACAGTCTCAGTAATACTGAGTTAGATGAAGCAAGAGTCTTCATGCAGCACAAGGCAGCTTCCTAGGTTCCCAAATCCGTCTTGTGTGGTTTGTTATCCCCAGGTCAGGTGTACTCCTCTGGATGCTTTTCCATTTTTCGTTAATGGAGCTGATGGGGTCGGGGGGGGGGGGGGGGCTGCAAAAAAATGTTGCAGTGCAAAATGTTCCTGCTCAGCCAGCCAGACCTGCTTTCTTTAAGTATATTCCATTCCATTTTCTCTCCTGGTTTCATCACCCACTTGACAGTCAACATTCTTAGTCCCTGTTGAACTGTTTTGGAGTCCCCTCCCCTTAGTTCATTGTGTCGTCCCCCCCCCCCACAAATATTGTTTAGCACTTTGGCAACCCTGAACTTTCCCCAAGCCTTCTGATACCTCCCTATTAGGCAGGGATCATGCTGGTCTGGCTGAATCCAGAGCAAGCATCACTTGGAGAATGTATGTGCTCTTAGCCAAGAAGATGGACTTATTCTCCATGGATTTGTCGAACCCTTTTAAAATCCATCTGTGCTGTGGCCATAAGAATAGCCTGTGTTCTAAGCCCCTCTGATTTCCCCTTCCATTTCTGCAGGGTAATGCTACACTCCACCTGTATCCCCATTTCCTGGCCTTGCAAAGCTTCAAAGGTTAGTTGCAAACAATTGGAAATAAAGCCGAGAATGTACTTCTGTGCCATTAATTCCATGCATGAATTACTGCCTTGAGGCAGGAAGTTGGCGTGTAAGTGGGTGATCATGGAAAGCTTGCCAACCATCGTTCAGATTTGTGGGTACTGAGTTTTGGCGGGTGGTGTCTGTTTTCTGGTGAGATGGCAAGTGGGCATGCTGTTTAGCATCCATCCATACCAAGAGGCTGCTTCATAATCTGAATATCATGCCCCCGCCTTCATTTAGGGGTGTCCGAGTACCTAAGCACTGAGATTTGTACCTCCAAGCAGAAGCAATTCCCCCTGGTCACCTTCCTTGACACTCCGGGCTTGGTGGATGGAGACATGAAATACCCATTTGATGTGGAAGGGGCGCTGATCTGGTTTGGTGAGTCTGGCAGCCTGGATGAATGGTGTGGCATGAACATCTCGTACGGATTCTCATGATTTGGAACCTGTTCTTGGTCCAGCTAGCATCCGAAAAGGAAGTAGGCTTGTGTGAGGAGATGTGTATCATCAGTGCAGAGGCTTCAGCATGTGGAAGATACTAAGAAAGTAGCAGGTGCTTGTAATCTTTGGGGGAGTGTCTATGGAAAAGTTGAGTTTTGTTGTTTTTCTGCCTATGCGGTAAAGTTAATTATGAGAATATGTTGTCTTGCAAAGAGAATTGCAAAGGATGAGGATGACTCTGATGGAAGCTTGTGAAAACTGCAAGAGACATGATGACAATGAGACTATCTTAATCGTGAGGCATGTTTTCCTGCAGAGGTGGGCAGAAGGTAGATCAGGATTTGCAATAGATCACTGAGGAGCCCCCCAAGTCCCAGTTCATTTACAGTAGCAACATTTAGGTCTACATCAGACAGCAGGGATCCCTGACTTGTCATAACTTGGGTGCAGATTTGCCTTTGTCAGGAAGGTTGTCATACTGTGGAGCTCACAGGATGACCTGAGGCAGTTGTTTGGCCTCCTGAGCCACCATTTTGAGTCTGGCTTCAGTTGGTGGCCATGGAGTAGATCCTGCTAACTTAAAGCCTGCCCCTCCCTATATTGCTGTGCATTAGGAGCCTTCAGCGCCTGATATTAGCTCTTTCCAAGGGCTGGATCCTCTTTGGAGGGGCTCTCGAGGGCCACATCCCAGTGGTGAATGGGGCCAGATGCCAGCCTGCCTTAGCTCAAAGATCTTACAACCATTTCAGCCTTTTCGAATGAGGGCAGATACCTAAAAACCTAAAAACTACCAAAGGTTCAGCAGTTTGGGGGAAGGGGGTAGGGCTGGAGAGTCTAGATGTGGCCCTGCAGTTCCCCATTCCCACTGTATATTAACTCCTCCTTTTTCGCATGTTCCACCCGGCTCCCTTCCTCCTGTTGTCTTGCTGCAGGCCAACTCTGCGACCTCATCCTGGTCTTCTTTGATCCCATGGGGCAGGCCCTATGCAAGCGCACCCTCAACATTGTGGAGAAGCTCAACGAGGGGCATGGAGACAAGTTGCATTTCTACCTCAGCAAGGCCGATGAGGCGGGTGCGGAGGGTGACAGACAGGTACCCTAAAGGGGGTGATCAGCAGGAACTGGGAGATGGAATACCTGCATCAGAGGAAAGATGCTAAGAGTGGCGACAGATATTTAGTGGCTGTTTTTCTTGATACCGGGTTGTTCTCTTCCCTGGTAGAGAGTGCTGATGCAAATTGTCCAGGAGCTCTGCAAGCGTCCGGGCCTCAATAAGTGTGGATTTGACATGCCCACAATTTACATCCCCAACACCAATAAGGTAAGCTGCAGCCCAGTGTAATACTAGAGGGTGGAGTGGAGGCATGGAAAACTGCGACATGGGCTTAGTGAAAAGGTGGAGAGCCCAGTCCTGAGTGGTGAAGGACAGGCGTAAAGGAAGTGACACGTGGGGGGGGGCATTCCTCTGAGAAAACCGCTCTTTAAAAATAAGATACAGATGAATCGTCTGCGAAGTGAGTGCATAACCAGCCTTGCATCCTCCCTCAGCCAAGCCGATGTGTCAATCAGATAGAGGAGATCTGCCGAACTATCGAGAAAACCATCAGCCAGACCATCCAGCACACGCTCAACTCCCTGGAGCGAGACTGCCACCTCATCGCCCAGGCCACGCAGCACCTGCTGGATGAGGACAAGTAAGAGAGGGAGCTCTAGAACTGATGGAAACGGTAATATTCAGCACAGGGGAATGGAACATCCTCATAGCGAGTGGAGCATGAGCGTTTATGAGGTGGAAAAGCTGACTGCACGGCAGACAGGCCAATCTGTGGTGAAGTATGAGTCTGCTTCTGTATTTAAGAGAGAATACAATGAAAGGGTTGCGCCTGGCAGAAAATCAAGGCAAAAGCAGGAACTGGAAGGAAGGTCTAAATTTAAAATCACTTGATTTATCCCAGCCTGACCCCATCTCACAAGATTGCTGTGTGGTTAACAGTACAATCTTGCTCATGTTGACTTGGCAGTAAGCCTCGCTGATTTCCGCAGTGCTGGTCACTCAGTATGTGTATACTGGATTGTAGCCTTCAATGAACACTGAGTTCTTGAGAAAGAAGCATGGAGAGGCACATGTAACAACTGATTAAAATGTTTCTTTCAGGCAGTAGAGTTCTGAGATCCTAACCACCTCTGAAATGTAGTGAAAGGGACTGGTATCAGGGAGAAAATCAGGGAAAGATCCTCTGTAGGAGCCTGGGGGAGTGTCATTTTTATTATTTTATTTATTTATTAAAACATTTTTATGCCGCCCCATTCGCCGAAGCCTCGGGGCGGCTTACAACAATAAATTAAAAAATAATTATAATATTAAATTAAAAAATATAAACATTAAATTAAAAATACAAAAATACAATAAGCCGCCCTGGCCAGATAAAATCCAATAATATTAACAGTTAAAATACCGCTTAAAAAGTCATGTGAGTGTCTGTGGCAGTGTGAGACCTCCGGCAGGCAAACTTGCTCCCATGTTTCTGTGTTTCACTTTTCCCCCTTTCTCTGCACACAGTGAGGCCAGAAGCAGCAATTTCCGGGCTTGCTTCCGGGGGACACTGCTGGGGCTTGCTGGATGCCTGCTGCCCATCTTTCTCCTCCTGACTTTGCTTTTTGGTACAGCATTTGCTCGCCAGCTGTGGACTTTGGTGTTGGGAGAGGAACAGAGACAGGCCCTGGAGCTGTATGTGGTGAGTGGTTTTTGTGTTTCAATCCACCCCGCCCCCCCATCTTTCCACAGTGTTCCAGAAATACCACTTTATTTCTTTAGATTAGGCTTGTATTGTGTTTTTTTCTTACAATGGACTCAAAAGTGGCTTATAGAATTCTCTTCATGCTCCCCATCTGAACCCCACAATGACAACCCTGTCAGATAGGTTGGGCTGAGAGCCTGTGACTGGCCCAAAGTCACCCAGTTGACTCCATGGCCAAGCAGGGACTCGAACCCAGAATGCCTGAGTCCCATTCCTGCACTGTTAGCCACTGCTTCTTGCACAGTGATTCTCAGTGAAGCTCTATCCAACTCTGTGTTTTTAATTCAAGTTGTATGCTCTCCACAGCTCTGTGCAAGCACAGAAGTAACAAGTTTGCACCCCGATTCTGGGTCCATGGAGACTTTGCTCCATTTTTCTAGGCAAGAAATACCAAGATTTCACAGAATCGGAATAGTAGAGTTGGAAGGGGCCAGGAGAGCCGTTGGGTCCAACCCCCTGCTCAGTGCAGGACTCCAGGTTAAACCATCCTTTTGAGATGTTTGGTCCAGCTCACTCTTGAATGCCTCAAGTGTGGGAACCCACAGCCTCCCTCTTGATTGGTTCCATTGTTGGACTACACTATCTGTCATGAAGTTCTTCCTGGTGTTCAGCCAGAATCTGACTTCCTCTCCTGTACGTTTGTCATGATAGACAAGTTCAAGAGGCGGCGCTTAAAAACAGGTCCTTTAGAAAAGGGCCACAAAAGAGAGACGCACATGTACATACTCGTACAACTTTCCCCCATTTAGGAAGCAAGTCATGCTATAAAGCAGGGGTGCAGGACCTTAGGTCCAGGAGCCAAATCGGGCCCACCTGGGATTCCTCAGAAGTCTCACTTCACAACCCCCGATTGCCTGGTTGTTTCTTGGATCTTGTGTGGTTCTTCTCCCTTTCTAAAAGGTTGAAGTGCCTCTCATAAAGCTTAGTTAGTGGCAGGAAGAGTTTGAAGCTAAAATAGGCCTGCATTTTTGGCTCTGCCCGCTTTGCCTTCAGCCCTGCCCGCCACTGGAATGCCCCCCACCCCGCCCTCCAGTTTCCTGGAAATGACATTGAGCCTTTGGGCTGAAATCCGCTCAACTCTTCTTCCATAAAGACTGGGGAAATTATCTTTGACGCAGATCATCAATGCTGTGTCTCGTTTCCAGTTCTGCATGTGTGACGTGATTGCAAATCGAGCACAATAAGCATCCTGGCTATTCCTTTTTGTTTTGATCTTGTGTTTTTAAATAACTCAACATTTTAACCCATCTCACTCTGAAACTAAGTGAAATCTGTGAAGCCAAAGTAGGGCTACAGCGCCTTTTATAACGTTTTGCCCTGTCACTAACAGAAGCACCTATTGAGCGATGTTTTTACTTCTTATTTTTTCCTTTGTTCTCCAGTTTGTTAAGTCCCTGGGCAGGACTGTAGTTTTCTTTTAAAATAATTGAGATGGTGCCTGGTTTTTGGTGGCACTTATTCTGCATAATTTGTTAGGGTCACCTCATTGTACAACATTTGGTATGGCATTTGGGTTGTGTTTGCTGGAAATGTGGGCGGTTGCCTTTTTAAAAAAAGCACAGAGCACAGGAGCTCTTCTTCTGGTTTCTCCTGTGAATGCCAACCATCCACAATCCTGTTTTTCAGCTCCCGATTGCCACAGTCTGGAGTCTTGTCCCTGAAGACCAGACCTTAACAGTGTTCGTCGGCCTTCTTTGCCTTTCAGTTCTGCTCCTGCTTTTGGCTAGTTACACTTTCAGGTACGAAGCCCCGCTCCCCCAGTTCATCACAAAGAGGTCCCCACATCAAGGGGCAACCTGCCACACACCTGTCAGCTGCTCGCCCTTTGACTTCCCTGTATTTCTGCTGCCTCATTTAGGACAAAGCCCACTCTGTCGAAGAAACAGAAGCGGCAACTGGAGGATCGACGGGACTACGTGTTGGACGTGGTGCTGGAAAAAAAGGTCAGTTGCACTGCGAGGTTGGACGTGGTGGTCTGGGGTTGGGTCACAGGGCTTCGTAGCTGGGCCAAAGGGTCATGGCTAGCAGCAGCAGGGTGTATGATCCTTGTGTGGGATTGTGGGTAACTGTCAGCCCTGTAGATTATTCTCCCTGAAAGGAGGAGGCTAACCAGTGCATGGCATTGACAAGCGATGCTGTTTTTCTGCAGAGGCAGCTCTATGAGGAATACCTTCGCCAGAGCATCGGTGAGCAGGATCTGAGCTGAGACCCCCTGCCGGTGTATTTGGAGATGCTTCCAGTTCCCTTCCCCTAAACCATATTAACATCCCTCCCTTCCAACACACTCAAGAGAAGAGAGTATCGTGTGGCTGAGCCTTCTAAGCACTGAAGCATTCTGGTCTGGTTGGCAACTTTTCCACAATCTCAGCTCATCGCTTTTGATTGGACAGAGATGGTGCCCTGTGACCTCATGAACTGTGATTAGCTGTGGCCAGAGTGCGGTGCATCTGCAGCAGCCGTGACGAACTTGGTCCGCTCCTGGCTAGTACTCCTCCCCAGATGGCGTCTCCAGCGTTCTTACAACTTCTACCCTCTTGACGGGAGACGACGACACTACCTTTCTGCTCTTTCTTTCCAGTCGGAATATGCTACTCTTCCTGTCTTAAATTATTGTACCCAAGTAACATTACAGGCCAGTACTGTGCTCCATTAGCTAGGTTCTCAAAGACCAGGGAGTTTTTCAGTGAGGTGGCAGTATCTGCCTGGTACTTCCTCCCCTCCTTCAGCAGCATCTGGTCTGCATCACTGCCTGGTCCCCTCAGATTCATGTCGGGCCGGCATGCACACCCACAAGCTCCTGCTCGACCAGGTCTTGGACCACATAACGGGGCAGGCACTATAAACGGAGATTCCTTTGTCTCAGTTCTGATGTCTGCATCCGCCATTTGGTGAGCAAACCCTCACAACCTCTCTAGACATTTTCCTGGTGTGTGTAGCCGATGGCATCATGCCCCATCTCAAGCCAAGTGCCTTTAAGTGACACCAGCTCTGCAAAGGAAGGGGGGACACTTTACTGGTAAAACTATCTCAGTTTCTTCTACTATGCTACACATGCCATTACTTAACACTGTGAAATTTCTATAGACATGATTTACAATAAACTGTAGTGTACCCAGCATCCTTTAGGACATGCTGGGGATTTCCAGTACCAGGAAACAAGACTGCCATAGTTGATTTAACTCGTGTTCATTGTTCCTGGGACCACCTCTGCTGTAACTCCTAAATTGGATCTGGATTTAGCCCTACTTATTAGTATATGCATTAATCCAAGTGTTCTGTGTTTAAGTAGGGCTAAATCTGCATTGAACCCCCATACCTGTGTCTCAGTATAGGATAGTTTTTGCAGTACTCCACACAATGAGGCAACTGACCACAGCAGCAGTTGTACATGTAAACTTGTGAGGAACAGAATCTGCAGGAGCCATTTTGCTTACTCCTTTCTCAGTCTAGTCTATCATCATTGGGTGAGGCTAGATTGAGTTCTCAGCAGCATCTACAGCTCCAGGAATTTGATTTTCATTTAGTTTCTCAAGTCCCTTTTTTTCAGCTTCCAGAGTGGAGTGCAGTGCAAGTACAAGCACATTTCCTTTCACTAAAGCTTCTCTCCATTTCCTACAAATTGGAAATGGCAAGAAATGATCCGTATCCCAACTATTTGCTTAGGATGCAATCCTAATTTTGTTCATACAGAAGAAATCCTGCAGTTTCTACCACTGCCCGTGCTGCCTGGGGAATGCTGGGAGATAGAGGCCTTCTCATGCTTAAGATTGTGCTTTTAATAGGAAATTGCTCAACTTCAAGAGAGCAGAGCTAAAACAAATAAGGGTACCAGTAATTGCTCAGCTTGATTTCAGTTCCTTTTTGGCCCCCACCCCATAACGGTCCTTAGTTGGCATGTAGAATTGTCGCAATAATTGAATTAGAGGGTGGGGTGATTACAGCCTTAAAGCTGAAGCAAGATAGGCTCTAGGTTTGTTTAGTATGAACTCCGTACTGGCTCCTCTAACAAAACCAATCTGATCTGGCCCTCTAACTTGTGTTCCAGCAGGTGGTACCAGGAATGTGGGGGGGGGGAGGGGAGGGGAGACTGAGAGTATTTAATAAAAGCTCATTGCAGAACCTGTCTCGGCTACCTGCGAGTCCTTTCCATTTAATTTCTGCTTGCTTTGATGGCCCATGGCCTATTTCCACTCTAATGAAGATCACAAGACAACAGATAAGCATTTTTATTGTGTGTAAGACTAGTACACTGGCTTCAATGGGGTGAATATACTGCATTTTCATTGGCCCTACAGCATGCTTTTCCTAGACCTGCCCTATGTCTGGTAGCCTACCCTTCCAACCGGTGCAGGTTCAGTCTTGCTATAAATCTATCCCACCCAAAATTCTGGTTCTTATAGTTCTCAGACCTCCACCCCATCAGTAAGAGTAAGGCAAAAACTTTCAATTCAATGTCCATGAGTGTCACTAATTCAGCCGCGGGAGAGTTTGCCCCATTGGAAAAAGGGCATTTTATATTTTACATTTGCATTTCAAATGTATCCTGATAGTTTACAATACAGTTAATACAAACAAAGGGCAAGCTTTGGAAACTGGCTTTCTGTTCCAAGCCTGCCCACATGAGCCCATTGACATTCATGGTGCGTGAGCGGTGGCCATCGCCACTGTCTCTCCCTTGTTTTGGGAGTGAGCTGCAGCCATCTCCACAATTTTCAGTTTCACTCGTTTGACGTGAGTGGTAAACCTGTTTCTCCCTCAACGCAAGAAACCACAGAGTTGTGCAGCATCTGTGCATCCATCTCCATATCCACGTTGACATAGCCATTGTGTCCAGAACCTGAGTAACCTGACGAAACTCAGCTGGGGAAGGAGAAAAAGAGGAGGCTTGTGAGCAACTGTGCATTCCGCACACATCTTCCTATTGTCTGTACAGAGAAGGGATCCCATTGTGCAGTCTTTCCCATCCTGCTACCTTTCAGATAAGCTAGACTACAATTCCTACCATCCCCAGCAATCTGTATCCACTTAGTGAAAGTGGTTAGCATGAGGGTTTTTAAAAATACATCACTATGGGCATGAAATAGTTTTTATCATTCCGGTTATTTATGTTCTTTTTGCATTCAGGACAGCCCCCTTCAAGGGAAAGATACCAGGCAATTTCCATGTTGCTATAAATAGCCACCATTTTGGCTGGTGCCCTTACACTGCCACAGTGGGAGCCATTTTACCTGCATTTTTCATTTCTTGGAGGCTGTTGCCTTCCGCTTCGCTTCCGTGCGTTGCAGCTTCAGGACTATCTTGCGTTCATGGCCTCCAGGGCTTGGACGGTTTGTATGATCCTCAGCCTCCTTCTTGGAACGTCCTTTGCGGGAGGAGCCACCTAATAACAGCCAAAGAAGGCAATACTATCAATAAACCCAAGTACAAAATAATTTGGCAGGTGACCATCCAGTCCAACCGTTATCGCTCTTACCAGAATTCTGCTTCTGCATCTTCTAGCCTTAAAAGGAAACTGATGCTTTCAGACTAAAAGAGAGAGACCATCTAGTCTCTCTCAAGCTGAGCTCTCTCATATTTTTGGACCACACCTCCCATTATCTCCAGTTATGTGGACTGGGGACCAGGGGAGTTGTAGCCCAAGAGGACCCTAAATAATGTTTTTTGTTGGTTGAGCCCCTGTGTTGGCTGTTAATGAGGGCTAGGGCTGAGCTGACTCCCTGAAGACTGTGCTCAAGTGGCAGCCTGGATTTGTGATACTCTAGAACGGGATAAAGTGTCTGTTGTTTTCACTCATGCTCACCTGGGAGGAGCAGTTTCTCACTTAAGGTAACCAACAGTTTACATCAATGACTTCTTACAACACCCCCCAGTGCTTTTCTGTACCTGCAAGCAAGATTTTCTCATTCTCTGGAGGGCGGCTGTAGCTCCAACCTCTCACTACTTAGAAAAATCACACATTTCTTTTGTGATGCGCCTAGTTCTCAAAAGTCCAGGAATACTGGGAGCCTTAATTTGTCTTGGAAGACACACTTTTCATCCTGTAAGTTCCCATACTCTGCTGCTGCTGCTTTTAAGAGATGAGGCCAGCAACACTAAAGACAGGGATGCAATAGATGAGAATCAATGCTTGGAGTTACTGCACTCTGCAACCCCATGTGCTAATTCGAGGGTGTTCTCTTAACACCGGAAAGAGCTGGGCTGCTTAGCACATTTTTCCTCCAAGTGAGTTATCAGGGCTTGTCCTTAGCTACGTGTACAGAATAAGTGATCCGAGCCATGTCTCACATGACCTCATGCAAGATTCCCGATTTGTGTATGCATAACACCAACCCATCCTGCAAAGCCAGTTCAACGTTTTGTCTTTCATCGTTTTGCGCAAGGAGCTGCAAGACGCTTTGCTGCTTTTCCCCCCTTCTTTTTGGTTGCAACATATTCGCATAGCTACCACTCTGGAAATCATTACAGCCAAGTTACACTTGGACGCTTTTCAACTTCAGGAGGTTGTGCAGTGCGGGCTAGTAACATGCGCCAAGCGCACTGCTAGCGGCGCACAGCTGGGCGCTGCCAAGAGAGGTATGGCTTCCCCTGCACGAATTCAGCCTTCTCCTTTGGATGCAGGAAAGTGAGGCAGGAGGGCTGCGAACTAATGCAGCGCACAAAAGCGCAGTCCCGAGTCCATCTTCGGACTCCCGCCACCGTCCCTCGCAAGCGCACTTACTGCTGTATCTGTCGGTCAGGCTGTAGAAATCGTACTGGTCAAAGTATTCCACTTCGAAAGGGGTCGGGCGCAATTTCTCGGCTTGGACAAAAGAAGTCGACATGGTGGCTGGGACCAGTCTTCTGTCGACAGCGGCTACTAAAGACGACAGCACAACGAAGTTCAAGACTCTCCTATTCTGTGATCTTGTTTTTCTGCAGAGAGTTGTTTGGGTTACTATATATAAATGTATGGAGTCGACCCAGACACACCCACAATTGCATCACCCTCTCCACCCCTTAAAGCTGCAGGCAACGAATCTCAGAGTCTGATGCAACTAGTTTAAAAAAAAAAACAAAACACAGATTTACCAAACCCTTGTTGAGACGGGCTCCAGCGGCCTTCAGACTTATGCTCGGATATATACTTCTCTGGGAGCAAGTCCCATTGCATTCAGAGGGGCTTTTTACTAGTAGGAGTTTGCACTGCCATTGGCCAATTTCCCTCCCCACCCCAAGCACACCACCTTATTCAATGCTTGTCTAATTTGTTCGAGAACCCCCGAACTTTTCAGACCTTCCAAGAACTGTTACTAGTGCAAGGAATGTTGCTGCGGGGCGCACAGGCATCATAGGTTGCCCTGCGAGATAGTTCTGCCTTGTTCACATGAGGGCCTACGTGGGCATGTGAAGCTTTCCTGCCTATTGCTCCTTTGCTCAAAAGCCGATCTAATGAACTCTACGATCTTATTCCCAGGATTAAGTGCTCATTGCTTTTGGAACGTGTATTCGCCATTCCTTTCTGTGGACCACTTGCTTGTTTAGACTAGTGGAATATTGACTAGTATGGCCTGCTTTCAGAGGGGTAGCCCTATGAAAGTGTTGCAGAAAACAACTATTCTTGCGGCGCCTTAACAGCAAACAGACTTGTGTTATAATTTTTTGTGGATCTGCCTGCAAAAGTACATGCCACGGCAAGTTACATCCAATGAAATGGGCTGTAATCCACAACCTTTGTAATCCACAAATAAAACTGTCTATCAGATGCCACAAGGCTGTTCAGCCCAGATTGATAACTTGTTTTAACAATCCTCCCAGACGTACACAGTTGAAGTGGTTCAAGATTTGGATTTTAAACAGTCCCTTTTCAGGGCACTCTTACCTCTAGGTAAAATATAAATGGCACAGAGGGGATGCTTTAAATTTCTGCACATGTCCTTTGAGGCATTTTACTTTACCTTTTACTTACCCAAGAAGCAACATTTGCCATGGCTAAATGGAGACTTCAACCACGCAATGGCTGATCCTAATTCAATATTCTAGCCAGCAGACCATGCTAACTTCTCTCACTATAAAACAGCTTTCCCACATCTGATGCATTCCAGACCTGTTGGGCCCCAACTCCCATCCTTCCCAGTTACCATGCTCTCGGTGAGAATGATGGCAGTTGTAGTTCAACAGGTCTGGGGGGTCTGGAAAAAGCTGCTTCAGAACAACAGACTGATCTTCTAAGTACCTCTCTGTTAGTATATTCTCTCTGAAACTGAGAGAAAATGTTATTTTCTTTTAGAGATACTGAACCAAAATGGAAAGCCTTCTTAAGGCTCCTTTCTCCAACCTCTCCACCCAGCTACCCTCATCTGAGTCATTTTTGTTCCAATGTCCCTAACAATTCTGGATTTTTCTGTCTTTTGTGGTGTCTCATGTTTCCCCTAAATGGGGCCCCTTTGTTTCTGCATTTTCAACTGCCCAAGTCCACCGTGGTTTGGACTGCACCCAAGTTACATAAACAGATGGAATCATAAGGAAAGGCTGAGTCAATGTTATTGTACTTAATGCTCTAAGGTGACTTATCCTAGACTGTGCTTTTCTCCTTGAAATAGTTTCCTGCCCTACTCCAAGGAAACCACCAAGTGACAGATTATCTAGGAATGCTTCCCAATGAGGTGTTTCTTACTCAAACACCTCATTCTGTCTCATTTATAGAATCTTACTGGGGAATTCTTTCTTTTCTTTCCACACAGTTGCTTCCAGAGGGAGGACTCCGAGACACACCAGCAAGAATATACTGTACAATCATTACCTCTTTTCTTTCTTAATGGATCTTTCGGATTGAGAGAAAAGACATAACATGGGGTGGGAAAGCTTGGAAAGGCTACAACTAGAAGATGATATCTAGTCCCATGATGTAATAGATACCTTGTCTGGAAATGCCAAAAATGCTGTTAAGGAAAGAAAGACAAAATAGCTGCGTAGGCTCTTTTGCTTTATAATATTAGCAGCTGCCCATCTGGAAGTTAACTTGGTCCTATTGGTTAATTTAGTCACAGCAGAAGCCAGAGTTGTTTTAAGAGGTAAGGTCAAGGATAAATAAATAAATATAAGGTTCTGGATTCAATTTGAATCTAAAGGGTAACATTTAGCTTTTTTCTCACTGTCCAAATAGACATGATGTTAAAAAATCCATGCTCTTATTCTCCCACATTTAAAAAATAGTAATTTAAATCAGCCACAGGGTGTGTCAGGCTGTTCTTCTTTGTAGCTGAGTAAAGTGCTGGGGAATTGGTTTGCACTGCTAACAACTTGTTTTTAAAATATTTCTTTTTAGCTGTTTTAAGTGAACACACACACACACACACACACACACCATGTGTTCTTGCTCAAAATTCCCCGAACACACACACATGGCTAAAAAGCACAATACAGAGGCCTGTATTTTTCTTTCCTATTATAATAGCTATAAGCGAGCACTTGAGATCCGGGAGAAAGGAAGTAACTGCCACTCTGATAAAAATCAGATGTACCCATCCAAGACCGCTTTAAAGTTAATTTGATTAAAGAAAAAAAAAAGTGGGAGATTGAAGTTAAATTGTTCAAAGGGCGAAAAAAGTGGGAGATCTGACCCCTGGCATTTTCAGGAAGAAAAGTAATAAAGGCTTATGGAAGACCCAACTTCTTTTATATGTGAACTTTCCCCAGACTGGCCCATCATGTGCAGAGGAGCTTGTGTGTTCTTGCTTCCCCTGTTTGGGCACCAGCTCCACCTGAAGAGGTCCCTGCATCTCCACAGAGGGACTGAAGAATCTCCATCCCCTAAGTAACCAAATCAACCCACACGATCTTCTGAGGAGGCCTTACTGGTTTCCCACAACCAGCAATGGGTCATCAGGTAACATCAGAGGTAGGTTGCAGCTGTGCTTTGAGCACCTCTTGAAGAGTTCACTAACTGTTCACTCACACTGACCTTGACATGTAATCAACCTACATTGCTCTGCTTTACTGCTCTTGTTGCAACATTTTGGGGTCTTCAGTCTTTTAAACTGGGTAGCTGGGTGAGGCATGCTAAGAGATGTAGGCCTAAACTAGCATAGGCTTTGCCTTAAGTTAAATAATACAAATTAATGGGGCCTATAGGCATAAAAAGCAGCATGGGCACAGACCCTGGCAGCTGACTGTTTGGCTCAGTCAGCTCAAGATTGGCATACCTCAGTGTTATGTGTATCAGATGGCTTTTTTCCCCCCTTTGATTTATATCCTGCCTTTTTCCTACAAAGGGCTCAAGGCAGCAGGAGAGAAACGTTAAGGTAACTTTAGCAACTTCATATGAAGAAAATTTATATAAAATGTTTTATAGATGGTATTTGTCGCCAAGTCGATTAGCTGACATGTTTCCAAATACGTCAAACGAATGTTGGAAATGTAAACATGATGTGGGTACTTTTTACCATATGTGGTGGACCTGTGAATATGTGAAAAAGTATTGGATGAAAATACATAAATGGCTTGAGGAAATGCTACAAAAACCCTTAGCTTTTAAACCTGAAATTTTCTTGTTAGGCATTATACCGGAAAATATTAGCAAACAAGAAATGTATTTGATGCTATATTTAATCACAGCGGCGAGGATTGCGCTTGCTCAATACTGGAAGAGTGAGGAATTACCCACTGAGGAACTGATTTTAAAAAAAGATTCTGGACTGTGCAGAAATGGACAGATTGACTCTATCTTGAAGGAGAAAGAAGATATTGATTTCTATCAAACTTTTTTTTTATGACTGGCTGGAGAAACGGGACTTGGCTTAGATTTAAAGATGTTTTTAAATTTTTATAAATTGATCTGAACTTGATTATAGAATGTTAAAAAGATACTTATAGGGGGCTGACCCAGTATGTCCGATGTATTGATGATTGATGTTTTTAGTTTTTAGTTTAATTTTTTTTAATAAAAATCTTTATAAAGAAAAAAAGGGGGGCTCAAGGCAGCTTACATCTCCTCCTCCATCTTATCCCCACAACAACAACCCTGTGAGGTAGGTTGGGCTGAGAGTCCATGCCTGGCCCAAAGTCACTCGGTTGGCTCCATGGCTGAGCAGGGACTAGAACCCAGATCGACTGAGTCCCAGTTTCATGCTCTTAACCACTACACCGCACTGGCTCTTTTGATGCTCTGCAACAACACAGATGTGGAGGGCCATCTGAGTTGGGAGTAGGTGCAAGGCAAGGCAGCCAATAGGCAGGTAGGCATCCAATAGGGTGCTCAAAAGGGAGGGATGCCTCATCCAGTCTGCCCCAGACTATGTAGCGTTCTAGTTCATAATACATGTTGTGTGTAATCTGGCACAAACAATTCAAATATTGAGCAAACTGATGGTTGTTGCTATTTCACAAGAGGTTATTTACTGTCCTTCTCAGGGCAGAGGGAAATGCTAAGGGCTGGCCCTTCATTGCATCTGTTTCCTTGTGTCCGGTGACTAATGGCATCTTCTCATCTCTGTATGTATCTTTAACTTCCATACTGATCCCTGGCTGAAACTTGCTGGGTGGTATCAAACAGTTAATAGGTGCATCAAAATGCAATATAAAATAGAAATAACAGTAAAAGCATTATAAAACTATACTTTAAGAAAATAAACAAACTTTAACAACTAAGATCATTCCACACAGCTCAGCCTGCTTTAAAAAAAAACATGCCTGCAATGCCCCTCTTTTATGTGTTATTTGGCAAACAGGTTAGTCATAACCTGGTGCTAAACAGATAATGAAGTTGGTGCCAGGCGATCGTGGTTGGAAGAGATTCCATCAATCATTGTGGCCCTCTGTGCAGTTTTATAGGTTACAGTCATCACGCTGAATTGGACCTGTAACCCTTCATCTGGTCAGATGCCCATCAACAGACTAGAGTGAGATTTATTCTGGTAGCTCTCATTCAGTCCATTGTCACAGCCAGGTACAAGTTTAGCAGACCCAGACTGTCACTTGCTAAAGATGAAATGGAGAAGCAGAGCTGAGGGCAATGCAGTCCAAAACACCAGATGACCCGCCCCCACAGGAGATTCATGTAGATATTTAATAGCATGGGGGACAATACTGATGCCTGAGGGACCCCATTCAACACTCTGAGTGGTGTATTATTATGATTACTGTCACTGTCGTTTCTTACTAGCACTAACATTTCTTTAATCATTTCTTTTATTGCAGAGTTCTCTGCAACATATTAATAGTGCAAATGCCAGTTAGTTCCAGAAATTACCAAACACAATGAGATAGCACGATTTAATTTTCATTTCCCCTTCCTTCTTTCCTGAAGACGGTGATTTTGTTCTTTTTGTTTTCTGTATGGCAAGTGGGATCCACAAGCAGCAGTGATGAAAGGCACTAGACTCATAAAGCGTTTCTGCATTTTGGGGGGTTTCTGAGCCATAAAAATACTTTTGCATGTATCCCCGTGCCTTCCCACATGGTCAAAGTTTTCAGTGGTTCTTGAAACTCTGGCTTAAGGAAGAATGTTGTTTAAAGTCTGCATTCTTGTGAATGCTGGATGTTCTTAATAAAACACTATTTCACAGACTGTACATTTAGTTTTAATGAAGAAAGACAGTCATATGGTACCTGAACTGCAGCAGTAACAGATGGTCATCGTGCTTTCCTGTCTCATGACAGATGTTAATGAATGCAAACCTAGTTTTGACATCCTTGTGATACCTTGCGGACTAACAACTTTCTTATGGCACAAGCCTTTGTGCACTGAAATCTAGCCAAGGATAATGTAAGTAGTAGTCTAAGTCATCTGGAGGGTACCAGGTCAGGAAGTTGTCCTAGTAGTTCTATACATGTGTGCTTGAATACAGGTGTGATCCAGGGCACACAGAAGGAATCCCAGTAGCAATACTTGTTTTGACTGCATTAATGTGTCCAGTCTTCTGGAATTTGCCCTAACATTGTCGGTTTATCACTGTTGTGAACTGTCACTATGTATATTCTGCATAACTGAAGTTTCACAGCCATTTCCCTCCATTGCTTATATTCACTGTTACCATGGAATTTTGGAAGCTGCCAGATACCACATCAGGCTCTTACCATCTCCCATCCCTGATTTATTTTCCAATATCCTCTTAAATGTACACATCTACCCAAGATGACATTTCTCTTCCATGAAGATATATGCCTTAATAAAAAGGTATGTTGTTAAGACAGTCTTCTCCAACATAGGGTTCTCCTGATGCTCTGGACTGTCTGGGCCTGAGGATGACGGGTATTCTGGTTGGACTGGAGGCCACCCAGTCAGGGAAGGCTGCAGTAACATCCTGCATCCTGGGGTAACTTGTACTCCCCCAGCTCACATTCTGTAGTATAATTTATACATAAGCAGACATGCAAACTTGTTCTTGTAGGACATTGTAACAAAGTTCTTAGTTTAAGAGCTCCCCAAATGTCAGCTTCCTCCTTTTTTTAATAAACCAAAACAAACCTAGGGTGTCAAAGCATGAGATACTTGTACAAAGGAACAAAGGAAGATTCAATAAATATCAGCTTTGTCTCTTTTTAAAGGTAAGATTCTTTGCTAGAACCTCCCACAAATAGAATCAAAGTTCATTGAGGGAAAGCGGTGCTATTTTTTAAGTTAGTAGGCCAGACTATTTTTATGTAGAGAAGAGCTCAACAGGCCAAACACCGTTATGCAGATTTTCTTGTTTGACACGCTTCAGGAAGAATTAAACCTTAAATTACCTGTACTTTGCTGAGAGCTGAAAGCCATTTTTTATGTTGATTGAAACCTCCTGGGGGGAAATTTCAGCCAGAATAGAGGCTGTTCAAATGCAGCATTTTTCTTGACTGGAGTACTTTCTTTGGGGGTCAAAAATAAGCCCAAATGAAACATGCTAGTTTTTTTAAAAAAATTAACGTGGGCTGAGGGTTAAGATGTTTTTCCTGCATAAAAAAAGTCCTACAACTCCCAGCATTCCCCAGCCAGTACACCTAAGTGGGCCTTTTTTTTCGTCAAAAATGCATAGGATTGCGCCTAAACATGGCTATTGCTGTCGAGGTTTCTCCTGCAAGGCCTGTTTTGGGTAGGCCTCATCTTCCTTGGCCAGGATCCCTCGAGACTGGCAGTCTTTGCTCCTGCACAATCTTATCTAGGATGCATCAACAACACAGGTTCATTTTGTCCTCAGTAGCTGCTAGTTAAGCAATTATTAACCACAGCTAGCCGCAGGAGGCACCCTGGGGGTTGCCGAAGGGACCTTCCGATGGCCAGTGATCGTCACAGCCCCGCCGACTGTCCCTAGCTAGAAACAATGGAAAGAGGGAGGACTCCCCCCACCCTTAATGCCACCCTGTCCTCCGAACCCCTTTGGAAGGCAATGTTGGGTGAGGATGCCTGTCTACCTTTTTCAAAAACAATTTTTAAAGCTTTGACCAGTGCCTACCCAATCGTCATACGACGGATTTGCTTGTGGTCCAAACCGAGTGGACAGTCTTTAAAAAAAAATCCAGCCCGCCAAGTATTATGCTAGACTTTTAGATACTTTGTCATCTCTTGTTTCCGATCTTTGCTGCTTCCAAATGGTGGAAATTGACAAGCGAAATACCGTCTTCCCGGGAATACCTCACTTTTTGCAGTTGGATTTCACAATGTTTTTGTTCTTGGTCAAAAGCGGAGGGAACATAAGAAATTCTTAGATTTGGAGGATACGCTAGTGTTTGCTCCGATTCTATTCCACAGTCTCTTGCCCAGTTTCCTTCAAACTGAATAATGCTATAATCCCACGCATGCTTATTCTGGAATAAGTCCTATGGAAATCATTGAATCTTACTACCGAGTAAGCATGCATATCAGGTTGCATTTTGCCCGTCGTTCTCTCCTCCCTTCATTCGGATTTGCGTACAAATTGTGCCCTCTTCCACACCCGGAAAAGAAGTCTGTGATCTGCGCCCCCACCACTTAATTAAAACAAGTTGAGAAAAATCTCGAGGCAAAGTTAAATCAGTACGCATGCGCTTCTCGACATTTACTAAAACTCCCAGGAATCTTTGGCACGAAGGTCTCTCATTGGCTAGCTAAAGTCCTTTTCAAAATTCCAGAAGAAAGCGAAGCAAGCCAAAGCGGCAGATACTCGCAGAGAAGGCTTTTTGCGCATGCGCCAAACGTCAGGCACGTTACTAGTTATTGGCCTTTGCCAGTTGCGTATCAGCCTGATCTCTCAAACTGCGCATGCGCCGGGCTCCAGCGGCACGGAACTACGCTTGCAACTATTCCACGCCATCTTCAGGCATTCCCTAACTCTATTTATTTATAACCTTTTCTTGGAGCGTGCATCGGGTGCCGTTCTGCTGCTACCGATCCGGGCTCTGAACGGTAGGGGATGAGGGTGAAAATGGCGTTTCCTGCAATGATGGGGGGAGGGGGCGCGAAAGAGAAAGACTATTTTTGATGTGCGCATGCGCCCCAGTTCCGTCACGGCTTTTGCCGCCCTCGTTGCATGTTAGGAATTGGGCTTCCTCTGCTTGTGCTCGGCCGTGGTGCATGATGGGAGTCTGGCCCTTTCTAAGAATTGGGAGTCCAAAGACTCCCTTTTGAAAAACGAAGATAGAAAGAATGATTAAGAAGTAAATACACCAGTTAGAGCCAGAAGCTTCAAAGTCATTTCTGTTTTTCCTCCAAAATTCCAAGTCTTTGCTATCAGATGTATAAATCAGTATTGCCTATCTTTAATGAGGCCATAGCCACGCTGGAGTTCACATTGGGTTTGCAAAGAACTTGGAAGAATCGATGAAATTGTCATTTAATGAAAAGGGCCGTCATTTTCTGGCACTGCAGCGTGCATTTCTTTCTGGTGCTCTTGGCAACCCATGGGCCACTTTTAATGTGGCAGGTGACAGTGCTACAGTCCTACTTAAGCTTCCCTTTGCTGTGCCCAAAATGAGACCCAGAGCCAAGCTCATGCTGTAGGAAAGGCAAACACATATATGCAGCTAAGCTTGTTTATCTGATAAAGACAGATCAAACATCAATAACATTTTCAACTTCCAGAGGGTAAACCTATTGGACATACTGGGGCTTATTTATGAAAAAGTATACATACAGAAGACCTTATTGTTGTATTTATTATTATTTAACATGGATTTCTCAATCCTGTAATAACTATAGCTAAGTGATGAAACAGATGCTTCACCACAGAATGCCTTGGGTTCAATCCCTCCCTAGAGGCCTGGCAAGCTACTGCTGTTAAGCATAAATGCCACAGAGCAAGCTGGACCAGTGGTCTCAGCACTCTAATGCAGGCTGGAATCCCTTCTTTGCCATTCTGCTTAACACAATACTTACTTGTGTTAAAGAGTATCATTGCCAAGTAGGTTCTCCAGTGATCCAGAATCATCAGAAGCTGCCAAGTACTGAGCCAGCGCAGTGGTCCAGCTCATTCCATATAATCTATATGGACTGACTGCAGCTTACCTGGATTTTACCCATGGACTAAACCCAGGGCTTTCTGCATGACAGCAGGTGTTCCACCGCCAAACTGTGGCTATCACAGGGTTAGGAAATCTATGATCCTCCAGATAGGGTTGTACTTGAAGCCGTTTTGGCCCCAGCCAGAACTCTCAATGCTCAAGCTGATGGCAGTTGTAGGCTAACAATATCTGGAAGGCCACCAGTTCCTCACTCCTGCTCAGTAATTTTATGCTATGACAGATTTATCTCCTGCCATCCTGAAGAAATCCATTGGTTGGGTTTTGCGACAGACAGAAAGGCTTCTCTGCTACCACCTCCAGCTTTTGCTCTGGATATTTTGCCAGCTTTACTGTGTGTTCTACATGGTGGAATAGTAGGATGCATTGTGAGAATTAAGTTTTTCTCTTCCCTGACACCCTCCCTGCCTCTCCTTCAGCAACATGGCTCTGGTATCAGCTGATTCCCGCATAGCTGAACTCCTTGGGGAATTGCATCAACTTATCAAGAAGACGCAGGTAACTTGACAGTCTTTCCAGAGACTGGAGCTTTAGGGACTGGGTTGTGTGGTGTGGAATGGAATGGAATGGAATCTCCCTAGCTTGTGGGTGTTTCCACAAGGAAAGGCTTTTGCAGCTGTTTCTTGTCATGGAGAGTATTCTTTGACTTTATGCCGCTGTCTTGTTTTGGTGTTCTTTTACTGAGTCTTTCTAGCGAGCACTGGCTGAGGGTGGGAGAAGGCAGAGAATTGTTTCAACTGTGACAGGCTAGAAGGTCACAATTTGGGTGTCAGTAATAAGATTACCCAGAATCTCTTTTGTCCCTAGGAGGAACGATTGAGGAGTGAACACAACCTGATTAACATCCAGAAAACACACGAGAGGATGCAGACAGAAAACAAGAGTAAGTTGGAACTGCCAGTATTGCATTGTGTTCATACCAATTCTGTGGGGCAGCCAGTGTTGGAATACTTTGCACAGTAGCCTTCCCATCCAGACAGTTTCCAGATAGGTCAGGTGGCAGCTGCCTTCATCTCAAATCTTCATGACTATGGATGTCAGGATGACCAACATGTTTGGAAGGCACCAAGCTGGGGGAGACTGACGTGCATCTCTGGTTGCTGCAGCTAATGGAGGAAACTGTAAAGCTGGAAAAGATACAGGAAGAGATTGTCAAAATGATCAAGGGGCTGGAACAGCTCCCCAGTGAGGAAACATCACAGTGTTTGGGACTCTTTAGCTTAGGAAAAAGGGGGCTGAGGAGGACAAGATGGCAGTCTATAGAAGGATGCATGGTGGAGAAAAATGAATAGGGAGAAACCCTTTTTTCTCCCTCATAATATGAGTACCTGGGGTCCTCTTGTGAAGCTGAATGGTGGGAGAATCAGGTCACATCAAAGTAAGTACTTCTTCACACTGTGGAATTTGCTACTGCAAGGTAAGACACTTGCCACCAGCTTGGATGGCTTTAAAAAGGGAATTGGAAAAATTCATGGAGGAGAAGGCTGTCGCTGGCTACTAGTTATGGTGGCTTGTCTTTGATTTCCAGGATCAGACTGCTTGGTTGTGCAGTTGGTGTGAGGAACATTGTGGAAATCATCATTGTCTTAATTTCTCTAATTATTTTGTGGAATTCCCATGGACATCTAGGACTATTTGAGCACAGTGGGAAACTTGGGAGCCTGGACTACACAGACCTTTGCTCTTGTCCTGCATAATTTTTCTTGCGTTCTTTAAGTAAATGAAGCTGTGGGGCACAGTGCCTCAGGTCTCCCAGTTCTCCCGCCTGAGATATCCCTCGTCTAAAGGGTCGGGGGCGAGTGTGCGAGGCTGAGAACTAAGCCCCCCGCACGCTGTCTCATCTGCCTCTTTCTTCTTCTCAGTCTCTCCGTATTATCGGACCAAATTACGGGGCCTTTATACAACGGCCAAGGCAGATGCTGAAGCTGAATGCAAGTGAGTATAACTGAGCATGTTGCCCTCCTGTGGGGAGACCCTGACTCCCCTTTCAAGTTTCCACTGAGTCTTACCTGCCCCCTTTCCAGCATCCTGCGCAAGGACTTGGATAAGATTGCTGAGATCAAGTCACTTCTGGAAGAACGCCGAATTGGTGAGTATGCTGGGGGCCCAAGGAGACAAGTTCCTAAGTGCCGGATGGGCTTACTTCATTGCTCTGGGATGAACTGTCCCAACGCTTCCCCCCCCCCACCCCACTCCACCAAAACCAAAAACATTTAACTCTCCAAGGGACTGGGGGAAGTCGGGAAGGGTTCTGTGGGGCCGCACAGACGGTTGTGTTGGCAGTCTTTGTGCTAGCTTGACTTCCCTGAGCAGAGGGGCTGTGGATGAAGGAAGTCACCAGTGTGCCAGTGAGTGTGAGTCAGTGAGTGAGTCACCAGTGTGCCAGTGAGAGCCAGTGTGGTGTAGTGGTTAAGAGCGTGGGACTGGGACTCAGGCGATTTGGGTTCTAGTCCCTGCTCAGCCATGGAGCCAACTGGGTGACTTTGGGCCAGTCACAGACTCTCAGCCCACAGACTCACAGGGTTGCTGTTGTGGGGATAAGATGGAGGAGGAGAATGATGTAAGCTGCCTTGAGCCCTTTGTAGGAAAAAGGCAGGATATAAATCAATCAATCAATCAATAAAATAAGTCCAGTTAGGGTCTCATCCTGCTACCGGACAGCTTCCAGCAAGGGTCCAGCATGCTGCAGTCTGCTGGCTCACTTAACAAAGGGCACTCCAGACTCCTTGTTGGAGTCCAGCCACCTGGCTTGCCTCCAGAGGGCTGCCTCTTCGGCCCTTGTAGCCTGGCTCATAGAAGGAGGAGACGTGGCCTGCCCCACTGAGCTGAGCAGCGCAGCTCTCAGAACAGCCTCCCCAACCTGGTGCCCTCCACATGTGGGTGTGGTGGACTAGAACTGACCTGTTGCAAGTGGTGTTTCTCCCTCCAGCAGTCACCAGCCTCAAGCCATTCTCAGCATAACTCTGTATTGCTTCCACACATGTCGTCCAGTGAATTCCCTGAGCATGCGCAAATGGTTTGTTGAACCCATCCCAGTGGTCATTTCCAAAACTCTCCTTAGGAACCCACTTGCAGGCCGACTCTCAGAGAGGCGCACTGCGAAAGCGCACACACCCTTTTTCCACATGCTTCTCAATCAGTCATGCTTTTTGCCAGTGCTGCCTCCTAGCCACAGGGGATATCTCAGCGGGGAGCAGCTGATCTCCACTTGAACCCAACCTAGTGGTTATTAACCCAACTAGTTATTAACCCAACAACTGGTTGGTTTAATAACAGTTGGGTTATTAACCCAACCAGTCCCTCCCACTTGTACCTCCACACTGTTCCCAGGACCATTTCCGCCTCTGCCTGGTATCTCCACTCCCCACTGAATCCCAGGGCCTTGAACAAAGTCCTGCTCTTCAGTCCCATCTAAATATTCCAATTCCGAATTAGAATTCAAATAATTAAAATCGGCATGGAGCATGTCTTGTGGGAACGCTAGCCCAAGCCTGCCCTCCCACTTGCTCCCAACATGACCATTATGTAGGCTGAGTGGGGCTGATGGGAATGGTGGTTGTTCAGATCATGTAAAGGGCCCTGGGAGAAGTCTGCCCTGAAAATTCAGTCTGGGGTTTAGAGGGACCTTCGGTTGGCTACCAGTAAGGGTGAGAGTTTATGAGTTTTGGGTTGGAACCCCATTCTTTGATTTGGAATTTCCTGTGAGGGGTTTTGGCAGGGAGGGAGGCATGACACATTTAAAAGAAAACTTTGGTAATTCTTTGTGACTGGAAGATCCCAAAGCGACTGCTTAAGTAAGAGTGGTCGAGCGTGGCTATCAAGCTGGTCTGAAGCATGGCAGTGGCCTGAAAATAGGTCACCTTGGAGGATCTGCACAGATATTTTGTATGCTTGAAGTTTTCCTGCCTCGAGGCTGAACTTAATTTCAGAACAGCTCTAAGGAGCCACACTGAAGTGTCAGGCACGGGGGAAGGCAAAGGTTTCGGGCCTAGCAGTACCCTAGCCTGTTTTACCTTAAACCTCTGACTGCCAGTAAATCAACCTCAGAAGAAGCATTTCAACCATTCAGAATGGGGGAAAACACTAAAGGATTGGCTGCAAGGGTGAGGGGGCCATTGCCACGTGAATGAGCTGCAGAGCGCTGGCTTTGGGCCCCAGGTAAACTGGAAATGGCTTGTGGGCTTCAGGTTGAACTCCCTTGTCTTAAACCATAGAATTGGTGTTGAACAGCCAGACTCTGCTTAGGGCACATAAGTCTTGCATGATTTTTGGATAGGAGGGGAGGTCCCCCTGACTGGCTTCCTTCTCCTCTCACAGCTGCCAAGATTGCCGGCCTCTACAACGACTCCGAGCCGCCACGCAAAACCATGCGCCGTGGTGTGCTGATGACGCTGCTGCAGCAGTCCGCCATGACTCTCCCTTTATGGATTGGGAAACCTGGAGAGAAGTAATTATTCCCGGGGTGTGGTGAGGGCAGCGGGCACATTCTGAGTGGTTATCCTTCAGCCAAGCTTATGCCCCTCCATTCTCATATCCTCCCACCCAAGGCCTCCCCCACTGTGTGGTGCCATCCCGGCCTCTAGCGATTATGTGGCCAAACCAGGAGACAAGGTAGCGGCTCGTGTCAAGGCCGTGGAAGGAGACGAGCAGTGGATCTTGGCTGAGGCCGTGAGCTACAACCACGCTACCAACAAGTGAGTTGCATCTGGGGCCACAAGACTGGCTTCGAGGGCACTCTGGGTTTCCGCCTGCATTTTGCTTGTGGAGCCCTAGGTTTGAACAGGCACACGGGCCTAGGAGGGTGATATGATACTGGCAGTTTTACTTTCAGTTCCTTTCCTAATTATACCTAATGTGGACTTGTAGGCCAGGCATCTGGAGGGCCGCAAGGTGCTCACCACTGCTGTAAGCAAAATCTGCCCCAGGAAAGGGCTATTTTCCTCTGTTGTCCAGAAGGACATAGCAATAATAAAGGTGCTGATATAAGAAGCTGAATCCTAATTTTCTCATGGATACATCTTGGATACTAGGCTTCCTCTTTTTACTTTCTCCTGGGCTGTCCGGTGGTATCTGTCACATTCAACTCTCAACTGCATTTCCTCTTCTCCAGGTACGAGGTGGACGACATTGATGAAGAAGGGAAAGAGTAAGTTGTGAAGGATGGTTGAGGGTGGGGTGGGGTAGGAGCTGTCCTGCTTGCCCGCCTCCTGTCTACCAGTTTCAACCTCTTTTCGCAGGCGCCACACCTTGAGCCGGCGCCGCATCATTCCCCTGCCCCAGTGGAAGGCCAACCCCGAAACCGACCCCGAGGCCCTTTTCCAGAAAGACCAGCTGGTCCTGGCCTTATACCCACAGACGACCTGCTTCTATCGAGCGCTTATCCACACTCCACCCCAGCGGGTAAGGAAGAGGCTGAAGACCGTTCCTTGGTGGGTCATCCATACTATGCCAGCGGAGAGTGGGCGTGCTTCTCTCCCACTGGTCTTATAGTGGATAATATAGTCCTACCAGCATAAAAGTATCCTTGCTTGAGCAGGACAGAGTTGCATCCAGCCTGCACTGCCTCTTCGTTTGCACTGCAGCCTCCCCTCTTGATCCAGTGTCTTCTGCCCTGCAGGTAAGGAGGTTTCTCCCGGCTCACAGGGTAAATGCCATTAGTTCGCTCTGAATTGGGGGGGAAAAAGAAGCCCTGTTCTTTGATCTGCCCTGATCCCATTAGAAATCCTCATTATAAATTGTGCTTGTAACTGCTGTGACTGTCAGGAGTAGGGTAGGTAATAATTCTCTCGTGCTGACCAAGAGAACTGCAGGTCAGGGAAGGAATTTGCATGTCCCACAGTTTAGCTCCTCAATGTTGCTGGAAGGAGAATTGATCCCGAGATAATAGGATTTGAGTTACAGGGCCGTAAGGCAAAGGACCTGGAGTCTTTCCCTTCTGTGGTATTAATGTGCGTATTTCTCCTAGCCCCAGGATGATTACTCGGTGCTGTTCGAGGACAACAGCTATGCGGATGGCTACTCTCCGCCGCTCAATGTGGCCCAGCGCTATGTGGTGGCTTGCAAAGAGACCAAGAAGAAGTGACAGTGCCCTCTGGAGGGTGGTTGTGGTGGTGCTATTGAAAGGAGCCATCTATCAAGTGGATTTTTCTGATGGACGTTTAACACAGGAGAAATAATAATCCGGAAGGTCCAGGAGACAAGTTTATTACTCCAAGGAGTAAAACTCCCAGTACAGATTAAGCAGTCTTACTGGTGATTCTGTTGCAATTTAATTAGATAATGACTTTAAACCGTTAAGGTAACTGTTCTAGGCGTAGGCAGCTCTTTAGAGGTAGACATGTGCCACTTTGCAGAGATGTCTGGATGAAAAAGCAATTGCTTGAAACCCATGGAGATTTATAATGTTTGGGTTAATAAACTTGTCTCCTGCACCTGTTAGAATTCTGCTTTTGCTCTGTGGTGATGCCCTTTTGGCATGTTTGGATTTAATAAAAGACTGGTTTATCACCCCTTTCTGGGTACTTTTTTCTACCAAAGAGACTTCAAAAGTCAAGTGATCTGTTGCTTGCCACGGAAGAGAGATGTGAAATTCAGTCCAACAACTTAGAAGCCAACACGTGAACCTGGATTACTGGCTTTCCACTAATTGAGATTGGGATGTCTCTCCGGCTTGGAAAGTTTTATTTTGGCCTTATTCAACTGGCATCCCCCTCCTGTGAGAGAAAAGGATTGCTGTTCTTCTAAGTCTTTTAGAATCTTCTAGAAAGGCATGGGTGCAGAACTCAGGCTTGCGTGCCTCCAGATGGCCTCAGCTACTTTCCCTGCCCCCCAACTACAACTACTGGTTTGGTGATTTCTTGGCTTCTGTGATGTTTCCCCACCAGTCTACATCTGAAATGCTTTTCCTACAAAAGTTTTAAGCTCTAAGAGTTTTGTGGCCTGCCCATTTCACCTCCTGCCTTCCCTCCACTAAGTTAGGGCTATTTCTTCCAAATAGAAATTTGCCCCCTGGGCTGAAAGTTTCTGCACCCCTGTAGAAAGGCTTCTGCATCGAATCTCCTCTCTGCAAGTTGGAACGCCCTTTACTGTGGTGAACTACAACTTCCGGCATCACCAGCTGGCGGCCATGTGTGTTGGAGAAGGCTGCCTTAGAACATCTTCAGCAGTAAGCACAGGGATACCGACATTCAATAAATATTCTTGGGAAAATGCTGCAGTTTTAGTTAAACTCTGCTGCAGTGAGCCTGGTCAGCAGTCTGGATAGAGGCGGTTAACACTCCCATAGAAGATCAGGGTGTACAGATATTAAATAAAGGATGGAGTTGGGGATGCATGCTCAGTGGTCACTCTTCCTCAGCATGCCCTTTGGGAAGAAGTGGGTTGCTTTTCAAGGGCAACTGTATCTTCATTTCTCAGCTTTGACATTGAAATGTTCTGTTGATGCTAAGCTGTGATTCATGCACTCCATTTTTTTCTCCCTGTTGACTTTTTGAGGGAAGTGTTTGTTTTTGGAAAAGAGCTCAGGCTGTTGGAAAAATGGCATACTCATGTTTTAAATATATTCCTTGGTTGGGAAGTTTGAAATAGGACATTCAACTTACTGAAGGATATTGTGTCCAAGCCTGGTCTCAAATCAAAGGGAAGCAGTGTGATGTAGGGGTTAGAGCGACCATCTCTGACCATGATAGGAGTTGAAGTTGGAAACATCTGGAGGATATCTGGTTGAAAAGGCTGGGTTAGAACATTGGATTATGACCAAAGAAGCCTTGATTAAATCCTGATTTTCCCTTAAATTTCACTGGCCGACAACTGTCAGCCTGAGACTTCTTCACATGGTTGTTGGGAGGATAAAAGGAGAGGAAGGAAGAAGAAAACCATGGCTAAATGGGCAATAAATCAAACCATGGATTGACAGGTCTGGTGCCAACACTGCCGAGACTTGCCAGCCCTTTTCATTTGGGAGAGCACAGTGATTCAGGCCTGCAGTTTTATACTGCACCAGGATATAAATTTAATAAAATAAAAACGAGGATATTTTAAACCGTTAAGCTGTCCATGAAACCTTTTACAGGCTTGGCTCATTTACTCTGTTAACTTCTCCATCCTGCCGCTAAGAGTCTTGCTAAGATTTCGGGAGGGACCTGAGACCAGAGCTACCTTCAACCTGGTGCTCTCTAGCTTTCTTGAATCTCCCTTGAAAAGTATCCAAAGCTGCTTCCTCAGATTAAGCCAATGTGTAAAAATGTCTTTTCTTGTCCAAGGTCACAAAATCCAGCTGCTGTTATAGAAGTGTCAGTGTGCATGTTCTCCTAAAATTCTCCACCCTAATCATAGGGGGTGAAATGGAGAGGGGTGGTGAATTTTCCAGCAGTTTCTTGGGGAAGAGTTTCAGGTGGGGGGATAGCATACTATTAGGGATTGCAGCAAAGCAAGCAGCAAAATAGATTATGCAACCTGCAGAAACAATAGCACCAGCAACAGTAGACAGGAGTTGCGTAACAGCAAGGAACAGAATAGCCGTGAGACCATCTTGTCTCTAGGGCCTAAATGTGGCCTGTTTTGCTAACTCCAGCCCACAAGTAGGCTGGAGTAGAAATCCACCTGGAAAAGCAGTCAGCCGAGTCCAGCCCAGCCCTTCCATCAGTAAATGCAGACTCTTAGTTCCTGACAGCCAAATTGCACAGAAGGTTATTTGTGCTTTTGAAAAACGTGTCGAATGGATGTTTTTAAAATCGGAATAAAAGTCATGGGAGCCAAGTCAGGAATATGCTTCTGAACCACTCTTTCACACACATCTTTGGGGGCAAATAGAAATATGTTGTGGGAGGTTTTGTTTCAGCAGAAAACTGGAGCAGGTCTGCAGACAGAGGCACATTCTGGATTGGGGTCTCACATTTGCCTCTCCTTCCAAATACAAACATGCCTGGTTTAAGCATCTGTTTAAATTATGAAGTGTGGACCTTGTACTTTGATCCTTAAATACAGACTGTTCTGTTGTAGTGTAGATCAGTGCTGTCCCTGTAGCCACAACCCAAGCCGTGTCCAAAAATTCAGGTAGCCGCGCTGATCTGCTTTGACTGCTTAACTCAAGCATTTTTAATCTCTGCTAAAAACAGGTTTTTGATAAAGTGGATGCATCTTAACTGCCCCTGCAGGACCAGGCCATCACAAAATACTTTGTACATCAACAGGGAATATATAATCATTGGGGAAGTGTATTTCCTCCAGTTGCAGCTACTATAAGAATTGCAGAAATGCTAAGGACAGGGGCTGTTTTGAAGCTGGACATGTGTTGCAATTAATCATTGACAAAAGAAACACCTACCTACTGCTATTTGAATCTCGGTAAATATTAAAAGCATTTTCTAAAGTTCTCAGCCAGGTGACCCACCACTTTGACTGGCTACCAAGAATGGCCTTCCCCCTCTTTGGAACACTCCCCAAACAGACTGAAATGGGACAGAGGTTTGAGTATTTCTAGCGCTCACAGAAATACAGTTAGATTGTCCTTAGATTTTTCAGACCTGCAGCTGTATTCTGTCGTTGATCTGTTTTAATAATATTTTGTAATTTGCTTTAATGGGGAATTGTAAAGCTGACTTCAAATATTTTGAAACTGCAAGGCATGGTCGGGGGTGAATGTTTGAAATAAAATGCATGGAAATAAGGCGTGCTGAACTAGCATCGTATGGCTTTTTTAAAGGGAAATATTTCAATCTGATAGAAATAGTTCTTCATCGTTGCAGTGCTGGCATTAAAATGCAGTCTGACACATGCCTGAGCCCACTGTCCTAGTCTCCCAACAGAAAAACCCACTAATCCACATTCCTTACACAGTCTTGTGGGAAAGATAAAAGCATAAAGATAGGACTAAGAAGGAAAAGCCTCCATAGCTTTTGGAATTTGAATGTTTGATCAGTGCTCGTGTTTGATTAGGCAGCTTTTCTAACATTACTCAAATACCGTAAATACTTCCCGGACTTTGAAATCCATGGAGAACTGGCTGCTGGGGGTAAAGAGCGACCTGCCCACCACAGTGGGGAAGGGGGAATTGGGGCTAGGGTCTTTTCCATGAGAACTCAGTGCTTCAAGTCCGATCATGTTTACTGTGAAAAGCTGGATGGTATGCCATATATCAGAGAATACTAAACAAAGGGTTGGGTGGAGGAGGATCCAGTTTGGACTTGCTGGGAAGTTGTTGTTAGCTGCAAAGTCGTGTCCGACCCATCGCGACCCCATGGACAACATGACCATAAAGTTGGAAATATTCTGAGTCACTTTGCAATTAGATCACAAAGGGGCACCTCCAGCCACTAGGCCTCATATGGCCTACTATGGCCCACAATTTCTTCTCCAGGCTCCTACTTTCTCAGCAGGGAAAAGCTTTTAGCAGAGATAAGAGCTGAGCACAGAAGAAGGCCACAAACGAAGTGACACAGCCTGTTTCTTCATACATATTTGAGAATATCTCTGAAGTGTGATAGTGTTTCCTCGGACAGCTTTTCTAACATAATGCAACATTTGTAGAAGTGCTTGGCTTTTAAATCCATGGAGGACAGACTGTTGCTGAGTAAAGGGCTATGCAACAGGCAACAGGTTCGAGCCGGCGGCTGTGCAATTTCCTTGTTATGGGAAGTGATACCAGCCTTCTCATTTTCCATTGTGAAAGCCTTGGCGTGAAAGTGGTATTTGGGAGAACATCAGAGCTAGCTAAGAAGTAAGGATGTGTTTGGGGCACACTGCTTAAAGAATCATGTCTTGTGTTGGGAAAATTTGGATAAATCCTGTCGGAAAAGCATTACTTCTGTGTGCCTTTGCATTGTGGGATCAAATCCTGTACTCCTTTTCAAAACCAAGCTAAGTCACTGTTTAAAATGGCATGGGAATTCACAGTTTACAAGGAAGTATCTTTTGCTAAGCTCAGAGGGCTCCATGTGCCCTGGTCATTCAGAATGCCTAGAGTCTAGATAGGCTTATGAGTTCATGCATAGTTTCTCAGTAGCTTGAATTTACATGTCTAAGCAGACCTGGAGATGGGTTCAAGTTACTGAACTAAAGTGTCAGTACACAGCAATTAGAAATATTGTAATCTTATTGTCACTGTACGAGTGAGTGACATTCCTTTATCTGTTCTGTATGTGATGACCTCAGAATCTTATTGTAATCTCTGCATTCTGTCATCAATTGCCCTGTACCTGTGACGTGACTGGCAGTGTATAAAAACTCTATAATTGTGTTGAAGCTTTGCAGCAGAGTTTACCTCTGCCCGCCCGGTAATGCATTATCGTGAGTACGGACCCGCGGGGAACCTGAGTCAACGCAATAAAGTCAAGATGGTTGGACGCTCCATTTATTTCAGTGGTTGGTTGTATTGTATATCTTTTAAGTAGCATGGAGATGTGTACAAAACGTGTTTACCGAAATTCTGTAAAAAAGACTAGAAGAAATAAATCATGCTCCTTATTCACCAGAGTCTATTTTCTGAAGTCTTCCCAGGATTAAAGCAGTAAAGCAGAAACAGCAACCAGGTGGGATTATTTAATGGTTAAACAACCTATGCATAACTCTTAAACAGGCCATGGGTTTTGCATGTTCATAATGGTGGCCAGGTCTCACTGGAACTCCTTGTAGGTAAGTTAACCTCTGTGTGGCTGTTGTGTAATGCGAACTAGCTCAGAGTATGAGGAAAGAAGCTGAACTTTCCCCTTTCTTTGGCTTAGTCTGAAGGCAGCATGGACATCAAGGTTAGGCATGGTTGGACACCTTCCAAGGGCCCACTAACCAGGTCATCTGCAAATGCTTGCAATTTGTAACTTTCCTCTCTAATTCTGGTACCTTTGTCCGCATCATCCCTGATATTTCTATTCAACACTTCTAAAATCAGTATAACAGAGGTGATAACGGGCATCCTTGTCTTGTACTCTTTTGTATCTCTATAGTCTTTGTAAATTCTCCATTAATTATAATCCTAGCCGACTGCTTTTGATAAATGCTTGATATCACATTAATAAACTTTTCACCAAACTCCATTTGGGCCCTCTGTTGCTTCCAAGGGCCCACTAACACAAGTCCTCTGGGTGACCAGCATGATGGCCTTCATCTCACTCTGACCCAGGCAATGGAAAAGCAGAAGCAGCCATGGCCTGCTTGCTCCTCAGCGCCCTGCCTGTCAGACAACGAAGTGGTAGCAGTGATGAGAAAGAGGCTGAGCTGCAAGAGAAGCCAGCAACAATGATGGTGAGAAGGTTGGCCCAATGAGGGGGCGAGCCAAGGATCCTCCGAAACCTAGTGCCAGAGGTACCTCATGGAGCCATTGAGTGGTATAGATGTGAATGAGAAACAGCATGACACCAACCGATGGCAGGCAGGGAAGGAACGCACACAGCCTAGCAGGGAACAGTTGGACGAGTTGCCAGCTAGAGAGAGAACTATCATTACTAGCGCTCAGAGCCACCTGTGCAAGGAAGAGAATCTAGGAGCCGTGGGTGCATCACTTGTCTCCTCTCCAGTATCTCACCTGAAGATTTAGTCCTGAAACGGGAACCCAAAGGATCTTTTGATACACTTTCAAGTGCCTGCATTGAACTGCCGCAGCTCATCCTGCTCTTCTTAAAGGTAATGGAATTTATAGGACTGCTCTGTGTGTGTGTGTGTGTGTGTGTGTGTGTGTGTGTGTGTGTGTGTGTGTTTAAAGCATCACTGAAAGGGGGCCCTACACAAGAATCAAAAGCGATCATAACTCTGTCCGGAAATGCAGGGTCGATCCTTCCATTTGCCTCTTGTAATGAGCATCAAAGCGCTCATTTTGAGCCACTGTGAAAAGATTCTTCCAGTCTCCAGTGATTCCTGGGGTGAGGAGAAGAAACGGGTGTCAACAGAGCACTGATGATTCATGTCAGACGTGATAGGTTGCTAAAATGACTGTCTAACAACCTGCAGACCGAAGAGCAGTTCCTATACCTTTCCCAAACGTCCCCTTGCTAGATCTCTTCTCCCCCTCCCACCCATTGAGGCCACTGCTTCAAGACAGTGCATAGGGTGGGGTAGGGCCTGCTTCTTCAAACCTGGCCTTTCCCATTGCTCCTCCAAGCCCTGAGGAGGGATGGCAAGATGGCCACAAGCCCTCTTTTCCAGACAGCAGTCCTCTAGTTGGAGGGCTGCCATGAAATTGGTTGGCTCAGAAGAAACAGAAATAGTTATATGCACAGTGCATTCTGTAGATTTAGACATGGTTAGACAAGGATCTAAGTCTGTTTCAGATGTTCTCTTCCACCCATGCATCAACATTTGATAAACCGTAAAGGAGAAAACCAGAACCACCTTGCAAGCCCTGATCCCAACGTCACCACCCCTACCATTCCCCTGACTCATGTGCACATCTAGAAAGGGGAATGTACACATTTACACTCATAGGATCTCCCTGAAATCGGGAACCCAAAGAATCAGGATTCCTTTTTCTAATAACAAACAGATACTTCTGCAGCTATGCACACACAGACTTCTCTGTATCGAAGCTGTATGTATGAGCCTATTATGGGGTGTAGAGAGGGGTAAAGGGTAGGCATAGTCTGTATTTTCCCCTCCATATGTTCATAGAAACATAGAAACTGAGCGAGTCTCCTGGGCCATCTAGTCTGACCCCCAGCTCCAGCCTGCTCTGCTCATGACGTGCCTACCATGTGCAAAAAATTGGGCTCATCAGGGATTTGAACCTGGGACCTCTCGCACCCTAAGTGAGAATCATACCTCTAGACCAGTGATGGCGAACCTTTTAGAGACCAAGTGCCCAAACTGCAACCCAAAACGCACTCATTTATCGCAAAGTGCCAACTCTGCAAAAAACCCTGAAAACTGAGGTTATAGTTTAGAAAAAACAACTCACAGCCAGTCCAAGCAAATATATATATATTCTTTTCAGCTCACTGAGCAGCCATGTGAAAGCTTGGATGAGTTGTGGCTAATGAGTTGCGGCTCGTAACGTCATTGCCTGGTGCCATTACTCCTTTCCGAGCATGCGCATGGCCCCTATGTGCGCTGTTATCTTAAGCTTGGCTGCTGGGGTGATGCTGGGGTGACTTGGCTCGTGTGTCGACAGAGAGGGCTCTGCTAACCCACTGTGGCACATGTGCCATAGGTTCGCCACCACTGCCCTAGACCAACAAGCCATCAAATGCATGGGGTGCTGGTATGAGAGGGAAGGTTGGAAAAGGAGAAATATTTGTAAAGCCGAATGGCTTATTGATCAGCAGTTATGGGCAAGAGTCTTTGCTCTGTAATCTGCCTACACAGTTTTGATATTTGATGGTTTAGGAATTTAATTAATTCATTAATAGTGTGGATGCAAATTTCAAAGTTTCTGTCTCCTCCTCAGAGCTTTGAGTGGCCGAAAGGAAGTGATCACATTTGTTTCCCCCAGGGCTCAGGCCCAACTTCCTCCAGTAATGCCTTCTGAAGCATGCAATACATCAAAGGTGGGCCACGGTTTTTCTGTCAACTTAACACACTGGTGGTGAGCAGGGCCCGAACCGGAATTGGTGAGTAACCCTGCCGGCCTTGTGCAATTTCTGCACAACCCTCGCTTGCCCCACAAGGACAGGACAATTGTTCTGAGCTGAGTGCATGCAGAGGCTCTTGAAATCGAGCCAAAATCCACTGCACAGCAATCCAGTCACATGGTTCTCGTTCTTGCAATAAATGAGCACAGCATTTTTGCTGTGGACTTTACCCCACTTCCAAGGGGATGGGCCTCGCCCAAGGGCCTTGTGGCTTTGACCCACTTGTTCTTTGTCATTCCCCCCATCAGAAAGCAGGCGGTAAAAATCCCAGTCCCATCAGCCTCTTGGCTTGAAGGAACGGTGTAAATCCATTTTTACATTCATGCTGGGGATAAGCAACCAAGGATGGTCATCAGCGTTTTGCATGCCTCAAGTGAGCTTTCGAGCAGTCTCTTTCTGAAGACAGGCTGTTTTCGAGATGAGACTGTTCTAGAAGTTGCTGCTCCTATTTTCAGTTTCATTGCAGACTTTATGTCAGAGCCCTACATGGGTTTTTTCCCCTTACCTGTCTTTTTGTGCTTTCTGCTGCATTACTTCTAGGTGGTCCCATGGTACTAGTGGAATATGCTAGTGGGGACTGGCTGTAACATGACCCGGCTTATGGACTCCGGAAAGCAAGGGAAGGGTTCATTTTGCAGCCGGGAAATTGCTGTAAATCCAGGTGCCAGTCTAGCAGGAATCTGGTGCCTAATGCTCTGGGAGCCATCTTCCTCTCTTTGTGATGGGCACCGTACAAAATTATGGCCTCAAGGATGCCAAAACAGCCATGGCTAGCTAAGGACCGACACCTGGAGTCAAGGGCTGGCCCGAAGGAGTGGAAGATGTGGACGACTGATGGGGAGATAAAGCCAGGAAAGAGAGAGGCTTTTTGTTGATCTCTTGCGAGATTCTCCAGCCCATGTGATGCTAAGTCTGCAGCTCCCTCTGAGCAATCCTCATCCATTCCACCCTCAACCCTCCGCACCTTCGGGAGTGCAAGCAACTCACCTTTCCTCATGAAAGGGGAGACGGTGTGGTCCATGATTTCCTTGGGGATACTTCTGTAATTGGCCATCTCATTCTGGCGCATCTCCTTGAAGGAGGTGTGGTGAGCAATCTTCTCAACCAGGCGTTCATCGGGAGGCATTTCCAGGAATTCCATCACCTTCCGGATCTCCCGAGGTGAATTCTACAGGAGAAGCAATGATCAGGGTTCGGAACTGGGACTCCTGGGATGAGAGAGAGCAGCAGGGAGCAGGATGTGGTGTACTGTGTGATATGAGCCCAATAAATTGGGGGTGGACCATGTCACGTCATGCCCAGCCAACCCAGGGACTCTCCAGTGCACTCGGTGCATGCAGCTTCCAAGGCTTCAGTCCTAAATATTTATATTTCTATATGGTACTTTTCACGCACACTTGTGTGCATGTGGGTGTTAGCCAGAATAGGCACATCATGGAGCCTTCATGTTCAGAAGTAATAGTCTCTGATGCTAAACTCTAATTGAGTGGCTAAATGTCTGACAGTTTTGAAGTAAATTAAGGCCACCTTAATATATAAGTGCTTTGTACATGCTCAGGGCCCCTCTAGGTGCACAGAAGGAGGAACTCTGTAAATTAAAATAAATGTGTGTTGCTGTTTTTTTTAATATCCCCACATTCCTGACAAGAGCCTGCATTAATCCAAGACCTTTGAAATCTGGAGAGCAGCTAAGCTAAGGAATGGAGGGGGATCAACTAAGAGAAGAAGACTGGAGGAAAGGAAAGGGAGTTGACCTGCTCAGTCCCCTAAAATGGTAAAGATATAGTCCTAAGCATGTTCAGAAAGGAAAAACATCCCATAACCACTGTGTTGGCTTAGGCATGGTGGGAGTTGTAGGAATAGTTTTTCTGAGAGTGAGCTGCAGGCCTTTTTCTGGCTAAACATGCACAGGCTTGTACCCTCAGTATATCTCAGCTGGGAAAGGAAGGGTGTGAGCATGGGATATGTGCAAGAAAAAAGGCGAAATGCAAACTGTATAAATACATCTGTTATCCCATACAGCACCACAAGGTTCTGTTCCAACTGACCCTGAAAAGGAGCACAGCTGTCAGGGGTAGACTATATTGTCCTGCTGGCTGAGCTTAATGGGAGTTAAGTCCAACATCTGGAGGACCACAGGCTCACCACCCCAGTCTCATCCTGCATGGTGAGGGTGGAGGAAAGAAGTCATCTTGGAAGACTGCTTGCAGAGGCTTATTGGGATTTGTGGCAGTCATTTTTCAGAACTGGCACTGAGAGGGGTAGATTAGAGAACAGCAGAGATTTGGTGCAGGGGAGAAGAGGGGAACCTTGCCTCTTTCAAGTCTTCATAGAAAAGGTAGAGTATCCTTTGTTCTTTTTTCTTGTCCCACCAGCCTTTGACGTGGTCATACCAGGATCCAAAAGATACTGAGGAGAGAGATTGATGTGCTTTGATGCTCTAGAATGTAGAAGCCCCAGAGGCCTATTCCAGGGGTGAAGGTCCTACAGCAAGAGCCTTTGGCATAGGCTGAGAAGAAGCCCCAACTCAATGCTACAGCATAATGAACACAAAAGGTAATCGGTCAGGCATGGGGAACCTGAAACTCTCCAGATGTTGTTGGGCTTCCACTCCCAGAAGCCCCTGCCAACATCAGCGATGGTCAAAAATACTGGGAGTTAAAGTCCCACATATCTGTAGATCTAGTTCTTGTCCCCCCTGATGTAGACAATTTGCCCACCCAGAAGGAATCAGTAAGAGATGGATTAAGCCCAAGAATTGAATTTCCAGTCCACAGAACTTCAAACCAGGTACAAGGTGAAATAATGGCCCACTGTTATACAGGTTTGTGACTCTACATTTCTGGAACCAAGCATTCCTTGAAGAGCTAAGGTTCAATGGCCTGCAAAGATTCATCACTGCCTGGTCCTTACCATCTCCAGCCATAAATTTCTCCAGGAATTCATTCCATGTTCCAGGTTCAGGATGAACTTTTGCCATTTGGTAAAAGTAATAATAAGAAACAGCCACATCTTTGGCATTTCTAGCCACATAGATCATCTGCAGTGCGGAGAGAGCAAATGAAGCAGATCTGCATAATACATTCCACTTCTGCTAAGCAATCCAAGGAAAATGCAAAGCACTCTGACCACTAGAAATCCCACCCGATCCTCGTATCTGGTTTTCAGATTGTCCATTGGCCTGCTTACAAATCCACTTTCACATGGACTAGAAACTTACTTTTTGAAAACAAAAGAAAAAAAAATAGATGAGCCCAGCGGACATTTCTGCATGTAAGCCATGGGCACTCCCCACCTGCATCTTTGTGATCAACCCTCTGCCTCATCCCCCTGGACTGTAATCTTGGTCGCCTCTCTTAGCTCCTCCTCTTGCTGTATTCACGTCCTCTTACCTTGCAATTCTTTCCCCAGAAGGTCTTTGGGAGCAGTTGGATGGGCAGGTGGGTTTTAATTAGACATGGGCGGGGTGATTTTTGGAGCAGCTCAATGCCTGAAGAGGGGAAAAAAAGAGTCAGTGAAGGGGATTCTCCCACTCTGAACCCATTTTCAGTACCTGACCCTGAGCACTGCCAGACCAGTCTTCCCCAAACTGCTCCCATCCCAACCACAACCTCCATCATTCTCAACATGGCCCTCAGAGAAGACCGCCAAGCAATTCCCCCATTTTGCTGGCTGGAGTGGAGGACTTATGGGGTGTTATACCTGTGGGAATTCCAGGAACAGCAAACTCCAAGAATGGGACGCGCATGTAGATGGGAGCAACGTTGCATTTCTTTTCATCGCCTCCTTTATAAAGCATGTCTATGACCTCGCTGATCCACGTTGTTCCTGAAAGGCATGAGAGGAATGAGTGTTCCGGCTCAGGCAGTGGGGAACTACCAGGAGGAAGCTGAAGAAACTGTGTTGCCTGGATGGTGGCCCGTGCTCCTGAACGCCGTCCTGGTTCCCCCAAGAAATGAAGCAGAAATAGGTACCCTGCACATGACCAGCGCTCCGAGATGGCATTCGTCAGAGCTTGGCACACCCTGTGCCCCTCCAGATGTTGCTGAACTCCAACTCTCATCACCCCTGACCGCTGGCCACGCTGCCCGAAGTTCAACAGTGTCTGGAGGGCCTCTGGGGTAGAGAATACTGATTAGGGCCTGCTGCGCCGCGTCCCTGGTCATCAAAGAGAGCTGGACCACCCTCCCTCTCGAGCCCAGAGCAGGCCTAATCCCCAGTGGAGAGGGACTGCTGTAGCCAAAAGGGGATCAGGGAGTGGGTGGAGAAACCGTACTCAGGGAAATCCCGAGACCCTCCTTAAATTTTCAGCCTTCCTTTCCTTTAAAGCCAGTCTTTCCACTTGTGGAGACAGAAGGAAACATGTTCAGACAGTATCTTACCTAACCATTCAAGACAGAAGTAAGCCTTGCCTTCCAATCCTCTGGGCAGACAACACAGAAATGAATGATACGCACCACACCCTTTCAGTTTTCTTCATTACCAGTTTCAACAATCTTAACAGTTTGTCATTTCTGGCTGTTCTGTTCCCACCCCTCTGTGGCCTTGGGGCTCCTCACCAGAAAATAGGTCTATCTGCCTATAATTGAGTGTAGGTTGCTGTTGAACCAAGGGTTGCTCTTGAAATGGGGGTTATCATATTGTCTGAACCCAACAGAGATAATGAGGAACAACCCACAGTTTACAACCCAGCTACAAACCATGGGTTCTCTTCACAGGTGTTCATGGTTAATAATCCATGGTTTGTTAGTGCCTCCAGGTTCAGACAACATGATAATTCACATTTCAACAACAACCCACATTTCAGCAACTTGCTATACTCAACCCTTTGCGCTTTCTGACTTAACTAAGCCATGGGGGGCTTGGCGATCATGCGAACCCAGTCAATGTCTGACTGTGGCCCTGAAGAGAGGAGAAGTCGGGAACACAGTACCCTTCCTATGCAGATATAATGGGACAGGGACAACATTATTTCACTGTTGTTCTGCAACTAAAAGCAGGTCTGGGGAAACGACTCTTGTAAGGCGTAGCCAGAAGCTCAAACACAATAAAACGCATTATCGGGGCTTGAACTGCAGGTCCTAAATTCTGCAGGTCCTAAATTCTGTTTGTGTTAAAGTTAAGAGCAGCCTTGAGAAGCAAACCTTTTTCAGTACAGGAATAAGAGAAAAGGAAGGCTGCTTAACCTTTACCCTGCTGCTCACCACTTAAGGTATTTTTCTTTTTTATCTGGTACCTATTTGTCAGCCAAAAATTACTAAGCAGCAGGGTGTGTGTGGTGGGGAGGAGACAAGGAAAAGATACCCAGAGGGGAAAGATTAAATGCCACCCTTTTCTGCACCCACTCTGCTCCTTCCCTCAGAACTGCAGTTCCTTTTCCCAACGAAGTGTGTATGATGTGGGAGGTTGTGACCAAAACGGCCAGGACTGCAGCACAGCGGAAGGGTCCTGGAAAAGCAGGATAAAAATGTAATGCAATATGTAATCATAGGTAAATGAAAGGATGGGTGAATGCTAGATAACAGCTTAATGACTGCAATATTTATTTATTTATTAAACCATTTATTAAAACATTAAAACAATGGGGCGGCTTACAACACTATTTCACCATAATAACTGTGGATTAAGGCTATTTTTGCCTCATTGCTTTAACATACCTGGCTCAGGGGACGGTTACAAATGCACCATCATTCAGAATATAGTGGGACAAGACAGATGATTGTGAAGTAAAGAAAAAAGTTGCCTTTGGAAATATGTAGTGAGGAACTCTGGACAACATTTCTTCAGGTAAGAGTTAGAAGCAGGCCATCATTTCATCAGTAGGGCAACTCCAGCTCCTCACACGCCAAAGAGATCTCTTTTATTTTGTCCCGAATTTTTTCGTGTGCATACGTGCGTGGGTGTGGTTGTAACAGCAGAGTTGAACACGGTGGTACAGAAATGCCCCACGAGTGTTAATGCTCTGTGCAAATGTAGCCTGCAGCATCACTCACCAGACTTTGGGTACGTGGAGATCAGCAGATCGTCTGGGTGGGCTTCAAAGAGGTCCACCTGGTCCATGACCTCCGCAAAGTACTGTATCATGGGGACCCCCTTAATGGAGATCAGCGGAGGGCGCTCTTTCTCTCCTTCTGGTTTCATCATGGCACAGGAGGGCTTCAAGGGGGCAGCTGCAACAGAGCAAGAGGGATCTCCACCTCTACAAAATCCAAATGTTTTCCCCCTGCAGCGCTGGCCCAGTCAGGATTTGTATGAATGGAAGCTGAAACGGCAGCTGGAGAAAGACCTAGACAAACAGTAAAACCATTTCCCATGTTTGACATTTTTTGGAGGTGATGATTGAGAGGTGTGGAATTTTGCTGGGAAAGGGTCGAAATGTCACCCAGAGGAGTAAACAGCAAATAGGGAGAAAGAGGAGAAAAGAGGACCTGCCTCTTTAGCTCAGTCCCCCTCCTGCCCCCTTCCAAGTTTACACTTTTCTGACTTAAAAACACCATATCTTCTATTTTCCCTTCTTTTAAAAATGAAGTCAAGGTAGGAAGTTTTTAAAAAAGAACAGCAATGAAAACAAGTCTGACAGTCAATCTGATACAGATCTCCTCCAAAAAATAAACTGGATTGAGTAGATATAATCACAGCCTAAATAGGGGAAAACAGAAGCCAAGCTACTTATTGTTAGCTGAGTCTCCCAGCTCACCAAATGTCAATAAAAGTACCCTCAGATTTGTGCAAATGACCTATTTTTAGTCTTGGAGAAGGCTTTTGCCTAGGGAACCCAGGAATTCTGGCTCACAGCCTCTCTCTAATTGCAATCCACTAACACCCACAATTTCCTTCCTTTACAGAGCACAGGGAAGAGTAAGGGGAAGGTGTTCTAAATTATCATTTATTACCTTATTCTGGAAGAGGAGCAGCTGCCTTTGTGGCTGGTGGCTCTGGTATGTGAGCTGCAGCTCGCTCAGATCCGGTTTGCTGGAGGTGGACCAGAAATGGGTGGAGACAGAGATTGAGAGAGAAAGAAGTTGGAGAAGGCGCTGGAACATGGGAGGGGGAAGGCATAGATTAATTCAACATGGCATTTTGCAATACTCCCACTCTATGACACTTGAGGGCAATCTTTAGTCCTGGGCAAGGTCTCAGCTTGTATGAGGGAGTTGCTGATGTAACTTCTGCTTGTGTGGGCCCTACTAGTATTGGGGATTAGTTGGATTAAAACTAGTAAGAATTGAGCTGAACACAGTTCCTGGATTCAGAACTACTGAGAAATATTTTATAAGGTTGGCGTGCTGAAAGTGCACTCTTTTGGCGGTTGCTAACTCACCCCACCCCTCCACACGCTGCAATCCTGCGTGATTTCTGGCTGGAAGACTGATGGGAGAAGAATGGAAAGCAGGACCTGAGAACCTCTGCTATGCTCAGATATTAGCCAGGCATAGCAAGGTTTCAAGTCAGCTCAAAGATCAGTGTGACTACATATTCATTCTGGATTTAAAGTATTGTCCAAACCTGTCCAGTGGCTGTCTATCTAGAACTCACCTTGTACACCATGGTTCCCTAAACTGGTGCCCCCCCCCCGATGTGTTGGACTACAAATCCCAGCATCTCCAGGAAAGTATGGCTGGGACATGCCAAGGCCTAGCCCAACACAACGGGAGGGCACCAGGTTGGGAAAGTCCAGCATAACCAGTCGGTTAACTCAAACACTACAAACAATAGTGCCTTCTTAGTTCAAAGAGAAATGCTTAATTCTAGATGGCAACATTATGTATTTAGCTTCTTCCAATGTTCCTCTGGTTCTCAGAGGTGCTGGGGGCTTTTGTCACTCCTCTGCAGAAAACTTCAGTCCCAAAGCAACAGCGTGACAACAGCAAATATTGAACGTATTAATTGTTTGCTTTGTTATGGCCCTGCAGTAACAAAGCAGAGAGAACATATACCAGGGATATAAAGAGCAGTGCCTCATTCTCTTGCTAATCAGCCATGGAAATATAATAGAATAATTAAGGAATGAAAGTGGTAAGAACCCATCATGAATATTCTGCCCCCACAGCAAAACAGGCAGACCTTTTTCTTCCTAATTTCCGGCTAAGTGACAGCTCCATCCCCACAGGGCTAAATCAGCTGCTGGAAAGAATCAGCCCATTTGGGCCACCTAGCACAGTGCTGTTTACACTGACTGGCAGTAGTTCCCCAGGGTTTCAGGGAGGAATTTTTCTTTCCCTGTTTGGAAACAACAGGGAAGAAACACAAGAACTTCTGTACACAATGTGGGTACCCTCTCATGGAGCCCTGGCCCCTCACAGCTCATGGGGTTTGTGCTGGCATTCGGACCTGTATGGAAGCCATACCTTCTGGATTCTGCTAAAACCTCCAGTGTTCATATCATTTATAAAGACACCATGAATTAACTGTGCACCATCACTTTTAGCCATGCTCTTCTTCCCTGAGCCTAGGAAAGCAATCCAGCTGAAGACTGTCAGTGATAGCAAACCATTTAGAGACCAAGCACCCAAACTGCAACCCAAAACCCACTTGTTTATCACAAAATGCCAACACTGCAATAAAACCTGAAAACTGAGGTTTTAGTTTAGAAAAAACACCTCACAGCCAGTCCAAGCAAATATGTATATCCTTGGCAGCGCACTGACCAGTCATGCAAAAGCTCGGACGAATTACGGCTAATGAGTCGCAGCTTGTGATGTCACCGCCTGGCGCCACTACTCCTTCCCGAGCAGGCGCATGGTCCCTATGTGCGCTGTTATCTGATGCTTGGCTACTGGGGTGATGTTGGGGCAACTTGGCTCGTGTGCCGACGGAGAGGGCTCTGCATGCCCGATGAGGCATGTGTGCCACAGATTCGCCACCACTTGCCTAGCCCTACCCTGGTGCACACCCCTAATTTTAATATAGGGGTAAAATAACATTGAACGGGGCCATTTTGAAAAAGCTTTCCTTGACTAGTTTTTTCTGCACAGCTCAACATTTCTGCCCACTCTAAACACATTCCAACCATCAAAATCATGCCATGACACTGCGTTTTGCTAACCCTAACCCTACCCTGGTGCACACCCCTAACCCTAATACAGGGCTAAAGTTCCATTGAAAAGAGGGCGATTTTGAAGAAGCCTTGCTTGAGTAGCTTTTTCTGCACAGCTCAACATTTCTGCCCACTCTAAACACATTCCAACCATCAAAATCATACCAGGACACCTCATTTTTCTAACAATAACCTGGTGATGGTGAACCTTTTAGAGACCAAATGTGGAAACTGCAACCCAAAACCCACTTATTTATCGCAAAGTGCCAACACTGCAATAAAACCTGAAAACTGAGGTTTTAGTTTAGAAAAAACAACTCACAGTCAGTCCAAGCAAATACATCTATATCCTTGTCAGCGCGCTGGCCATCCATGTGGAAGCTCGGACAAGTCGCGGCTATTGAGTCGCAGCTTGTGACATCATCGCCTGGCGCCGCAACTCCTTTCTGAGCAGGCGCATGGCCCCTCTGTGCACTGTTGTCCAATGCTCGGCTGCCGGGGTGATGCTGGGGCGACTTGGCCCACATGCCGACAGAGGTCTCTGCTGTGGCACGTGTGCCATAGGTTCGCCACCACTGCCCTATGTGAAGAGCACTCTGGCGGTGCTGCAAAGTCTCTTCCTTAATAGGAATGAGAGAAGACCTCCTCCAGTTCTTTCCCTTTTCTCCAGGCATTGAGCTACTCAGAAAACCGCCCTGACAAGGTGTCACCCTACTGGATCTGTCTCCATGAGATCTTATCTAGGAGAGGAAACAACTCCGTTGGCCCAGCAGGTCCTGAATCAGTCATCTCCTTGCCAGGAGGTATTATTAGTGATGTTGGACAGCAAAGGGAGGGGGAACTACTTTGTCATAAAGGTGTAAATAAATTACTGTGCTGAACCTACAGGCCAAGATTTAAAATATCATTAAATGAGTGTGAGACATGCTTTGTTTTATTACATAATACGTAAAAAGCAAAAAACTACTGAGTCAGCCACAGGGAAGATTCCACAGAAGGAAATCCTGTGCCCTGGCTTTGATTCACTGAGATTGTCCCTAATTTTACAAATTTCAGACCCACCCTGCAGGTCCAGAAAAAGGGTCCCTCTTCAGCTTCCGTGTGTGGAGATGCATTGAGCCAAGACTCTTAAAGCACCTTGTGGGATTTTCTCAATTCATTTCTCTTGCAAAGACTCTGCAGGCTTGATGTTGTGTGCAGTATACTCCCTTATGAATCAGGAGCTGTACTGTTGTTCAGTAGCTGCCACAAATTATATTGCTTTACAGATTCTGATAAAAATATAAATTTGACTATTTGATCTTTTTGATTCTTTTCCTCGAAGCAACCTAAAATTTTAGAGCCACACAGGGTTAAGAGATCGGAATGAAACGGTGACCTGTTTTAACCAGCTGGCAGAGTTACATATGTCCAATTAAAGCCCATATTTCAGGCTAATGAGTCCCCGAATCCTTCTAGGATGGAATGGCAAGTCAGAGGATCTGATGCCTGCATATAACAAGAGGGAGAATAACAGAAACTGCTAAGATTTTGATCCAGAGCGATGGTGTGGAGGCTCAGCCACAAAGTTATAGGCAAGGGATGCTCACAGTGTCCATATTGGGCTCAACATCTTGACATTTTAGTCTTTTACAAGAACTCTGTAGGTTTCCATTATTGCTTTCTTTCTGGGCATAGAACTTTGCTCTGGAAAGTTCCTGCTTGGAGCTGTTTCCCCCCACTAACACCCTCACCCCCGGGGGCGGGGGGTGGTTCCAGGGACCCTGGTGTTGTTTGGAAATGTACTGAGGCCTTTTGAGCATGCGGATCATCTCAGATGAGCTTCCTTGTCAGTTTGTGCAACTGGACCAGTGGTCCCCCGCGACAGGCTCTGGTACAGTGGGGGTGTTGGGAGCTCTTTAAGACAGAGCCAGGAGCAACACAGCCATCGTTCACATGTCTGCACGATGCATGTTCCCAACAGAGTCTTCCTGCAACAGTGAGAGGAGCAGCGTTGTGGAGTGGTTAGGGTTCTGGACTGGGGCCCAGGGGATCCAGATTCTAGTCCCCATAGAGCCATGAAGCTCACTGGGCGATGCTGGGCCAGCCATTGATTCTCAGGCAGACCTACCTCACAGGGTTGTTGTAAGGCTATAATGGAGAAGTGGAAGATAATTTAAACTCCCCAGGGTTGCAGGATGGAGAGAGAGATATAACAATACAACAGTAAAGAGAGTGTGCACATTGGATGTAGCACATCTGTGTGCTCTCTCCAGCCTTCCCCAAGCTACTATCCTCTAAATGTCTTTGACTACAAGCCCACTATCTCACTGGCCATGCTGACTGAGGACTATTGGTACTGTAGTCCCACAGAATTGGAAGAACACCAAGTTGGGGAATGCTACTCTAACCACATCTTTTTCATTGGCATCTCTCTCACCTGCATTAAAGATAAAATTAAAAAGAACTGAGCACACATCTTCAAAGATGTATTTAAGGCAACTGTGCTTTGCAGGCTGCTCCCAGTTTGTTTGTTTATTTAGGATATTTCTAGGCCGTCCATCACTTTCATCTTGTTGGCCCTGCTTCTCTGAGCCATGTGCCCATATGTGGCTTGATAGCCATGGACCAACAGCTTAGGGCAAGGCTGGATAAACACCGGCGTGAAAAACCCATTCAGGGTATTTTGTCGCATTTAGGGTTCTGTCTAAAAGTCTCTACTGTGCTGGGTTGGTGGGGAAGCATGTCAAGTGAAGATGCAGCTTAGACCGAAGGAAGTTTGGCTGGGGAATGCTGGAAGTTGTGGGACCTTTTTCTACCGAAACATGCGTCGGAGTGCTCCCTTAATTCTTTTCAAGTGGCCTCAGATTGGAGGAGCTTGTGGCCTGGCAAGGCTGAAGCATCCTAGCATTTCAAAGTCAGACAGCAGGGGCACAGAAGGGGCATCTTAGCATTTGCAAACCAGGACAGGGCAGTAGTGAG